TTCATTTCTGAGATTTGACGGTATCCGTGGTCAGCTTCCTACTCTCAACTGGGAATGCGAGTTTGATTTTAAAGACCCTGGAAATTATGTGTCTTGACCAGCCACTGGTGTGTGTGTGTGTGTGTGTGTGTGTGTGTGTGTGTGTGTGTGTGTGTGTGTGTGTGTGTGTGTGTGTGTGTGTGTGTGTGTGTGTGTGTGTGTGTGTGCGTGTGTGTGTGTGTGTGAGGTTTCTCCAGCTGTGATGTCCTATTGATGGTATTTTAAGGTGTATTAAATTAGATTGGACTGAATAGGAAATCACTGAAGGCCCAGGGGTGGAACGCACCGCCCGCCACTGATAGGTACACTTCCACTGTGAGAGACAGGATGTGAAAAATAATCCATGAATTCACATGGCAGGATTTTTAAAGAATTTATTTGTAAATCAGGGTGGAAAATAAGTATTTGGTCACTTCAAACAAGGAAAATCTTTGGCTCTCACAGACCTGTAACGTCTTCTTTAAGAAGCTTTTCTGTCCTCCACTCGTTACCTGTATTAATGGCACCTGTTTGAACTCATTATCTGTATAAAAGACACCTGTCCACAGCCTCAAACAGTCAGACTCCAAACTCCATTATGGACAAGACCAAAGAGCTTTCGAAGGACTTCAGGAAAAGAATTGTAGACCTGCACCAGACTGGGAAGAGTAAATCTACAATAGGCAAGCAGCTTGGTGTGAAAAAATCAACTGTGGGAGCAATTATCAGAAAATGGAAGACATACAAGACCACTGATAATCTCCCTTGATCTGGGGCTCCACGCAAGTTCTCATCCCGTGGGGTCAAAATGATCGTGAGAACGGTGAGCAAGCACCCCAGAACCACACAGGGGGACCTGGTGAATGACCTGCAGAGAGCTGGGACCACAGTAACAAAGGTCACCATCAGTAACACACTACAACGGCAGGGAATCAAATCCTGCAGTGCCAGACGTGTTCCGCTGCTGAAGCCAGTGCATGTCCAGGCCCGTCTGAAGTTTTCCCGAGAGCACATGGATGATACAGCAGAGGATTGGGAGAATGTCATGTGGTCAGATGAAACCAAAGTAGAACTTTTTGGTATAAACTCAACTCGTCGTGTTTGGAGGAAGAAGAATACTGAGTTGCATCCCAAGAACACCATACCTACTGTGAAGCATGGGGGTGGGAACATCATGCTTTGGGGCTGTTTTTCTGCTAAGGGGACAGGACGACTGATCCATGTTAAGGACAGAATGGATGGGGCCATGTATCATGAGATTCTGAGCCAAAACCTCCTTCCATCAGTGAGAGCTTTGAAGATGAAACGTGGCTGGGTCTTCCAACACGACAATGATCCCAAACACACCGCCCGGGCAACATAGGAGTGGCTCCGTAAGAAGCATTTGAAAGTCCTGCAGTGGCCTAGCCAGTCTCCAGACCTCAACCCCATAGAAAATCTGTGGAGGGAGTTGAAAGTCCGTGTTGCTCGGCGACAGCCCCAAAACATCACTGCTCTCGAGAAGATCTGCATGGAGGAATTGGCCAAAATACCAGCTATTGTGAGTGCAAACCTGGTAAAGACCTATAGTAATCTTTTGACCTCTGTTATTGCCAACAAAGGTTATGCTACAAAGTATTGAGTTGAATTTTTGTTATTGACCAAATACTTATTTTCCACCCTGATTTACAAATAAATTCTTTAAAAATCCTGCCATGTGAATTCATGGATTTTTGTTCACATTCTGTCTTCCACAGTTGAAGTGTACCTATGATGAAAATTACTGACCTCTGTCATCATTTTAAGTGGGAGAACTTGCACAATCGGTGGCTGACTAAATACTTTTTTGCCCCACTGTAATAGAGCAGTGGGCCAAGGACTGAGCCTTGAGGAACACCACAACCATCGCTGGAGTGTTGAGTTAACATGACTCTGCTGACTGAGGTCATGAGGAGGTTGTTCGTAACTTTCACTTCTGAAATTTCTGTGCTTTAAATTTAGGATGGAAGAAATCCAAACACATTATAGGTCTCTGATTTTCCCTTCAGTCATAAATAATCTAGAACAGTGGTTGCCAAGCTGGGGTCCATGACCCCTGAAGCGGGTCCCAATAATTTTGTCTATGCTGATGTTGTGAGATTACCCAGATTATATTAGTAAAAATTACATTTATAAGATCCAAACTCTAAGAGCTACAACTCTGTGTGTCTGTGTTAAGTTTGTAATTATTCACTTTCCATTGTGTGCGTGTTGGTAGGAGTTGGGGTTGGGAGGCCCTGGCTTGTCTTGGACACAGGAAACAGGGTCCTCGTAAAAAAAGGTTGGGATCCACAGATCTAGAAGATCCAGCCTGTTAACAGCAGGTATGGAAAATTAACAAATGACAATAATTTGCGTCCAAAAGCTTAAAACTCTAACAGCAGCTGCATCTTCTCAGTGACTGATTGGATAATTATTCAGGTCCTTCTCAAAAAATTAGCATATTGTGATAAAGTTCATTATTTTCTGTAATGTACTGATAAACATTAGACTTTCATATATATTAGATTCATTCCACACAACTGAAGTAGTTCAAACCTTTAATTGTTTCTAATATTGATGATTTTTGGCGTACAGCTCATGAAAACCCAAAATTCCTCTAAAAAAATTAGCATATTTCATCCGACCAATAAGAGAAAAGTGTTTTTAATACAAAAAAAGTCAGCCTTCAAGTAATTATGTTCAGTTATGCACTCAATACTTGGTCGGGAATCCTTTTGCAGGAATGACTGCTTCAATGCGGCGTGGCATGGAGACGATCAGCCTGTGGCACTGCTGAGGTGTTATGGAGGCCCAGGATGCTTCGATAGCGGCCTTAAGCTCATCCAGAGTGTTGGGTCTTGCGTCTCTCAACTTTCTCTTCACAATATCCCACAGATCCTCTATGGGGTTCAGGTCAGGAGAGTTGGCAGGCTAACTGAGCACAGTAATGCCATGGTCAGTAAACCATTTACCAGTGGTTTTGGCATTGTGAGCAGGCGCCAGGTCATGCTGAAAAATGAAATCTTCATCTTCATAAAGCTTTTCAGCAGATGGAAGCATGAAGTGCTCCAAAATCTCCTGATGGCTAGCTGCATTGACCCTGCCCTTGATAAAACACAGTGGACCAACACCAGCAGCTGACATGGCACCCCAGACCATCACTGACTGTGGGTACTTGACACTGGACTTCAGACATGTTGGCATTTCCCTCTGCCTGGTCTTCCTCCAGACTCTGGTACCTTGATTTCCGAATGACATGCAAAATTTGCTTCAATCTGAAAAAAGTACTTTGGTCCGCTGAGCAACAGTCCAGTGCTACTTCTCTGTAGTCCAGGTCAGGCGCTTCTGCCGCTGTTTCTGGTTCAAAAGTGGCTTGACCTGGGGAACGCGGCACCTGTAGCCCATTTCCTGCACACGCCTGTACACGGTGGCTTTACTCCAGACTCAGTCCACTGCTTCCGCAGGTCCCCCAAGGTCTGGAATCGGTCCTTCTCTACAATCTTCCTCAGGGTCCGGTCACCTCTTCTCGTTGTGCTGCTTTTTCTGTCACACTTTTTCCTTCCCACTGAGGTGCCTTGATGCAGCCCTCTGGGAACAGCCTGTTAGTTCAGAAATTTCTTTCTGTGGCTTACCCTCTTGCTTGAGGGTGTCATTGATGGCCTTCTGGACAGCAGTCAGGTCGGCAGTCTTACCCATGATTGTGGTTTTGAGTAATGAACCAGGCTGGGAGTTTTTAAAAGTCTCAGGAATCTTTTGCAGGTGTTTAGAGTTAATTAGTTGATTCAGATGATTAGGTTAATAGCTCGTTTAGAGAACCTTTTCATGATATGCTAATTTTTTTAGATAGGATTTTTGGGTTTTCATGAGCTGTATGCCACAAACATCAATATTAGAAACAATAAAAGGCTTGAACTACTTCAGTTGTGTGGAATGAATCTAATATATATGAAAGTCCAATGTTTATCAGTACATTACAGACAATAATGAACTTTATCACAGTATGCTAATTTTTTGAGAAGGACCTGTATAATCTAATGAAGCACATGAATCAAGAGTAGCTTTTTTAAAGGCAAAGAGACCCTAAATGCCCACAGAGTCACACGCTGGATTGAACAGAGTCGGTGATGATCCTCAGGTGAGCTGTTTTAGCCACAGTCCGCCATGCAAACTTCACTGGTTTATAGATGCTTACAGACAGTCATAAAAAACCTGGTTTGCATTAAAACAAACTTAACTTTTGCATCTCAACAAGCTGGTTTTGGACTTTCTCAGCCGGTTTCAGTGGTTCTAGTCTCACAAAGACATGCAGGTTTTCTCTCTCAGTGAAATTTAGGCCATTTGTCAAAGTTCATAGCTTAACTTCGGCAACAAATGAGGCCACAGTGTGCATGTTGGGTGTTCTTTAGCATAAAATACCAGACACACATATCTGAAGGGTTCTGTTAATCCTGGGGATCTGACTTACCTGTTCACTATGGCGGCTTTTATGTGTAAACATAAAAACACGAACACATGAGGCGAGCCTTTAAAATCCCAGGGCTCTGGTTGTTGAGGCGTATCTCGCTGCGTCGATGAAACCACGTCGAGTTATTTCTAAAAAGGCAACTTTGACCCAGACAGAAAAGTATTTTATTCCAGATTGAGCAACGGAGTGAGTCACGGTGTCTGTGGGACATATCGATCATGAAATACGGTGTCATCTCTACACACACACACACACACACACACACACACACACACACACACACACACACACACACACACACACACACACACACACACACACACACACAAAGCATTCACTGATCCTGGATCAGAGAGCACAAGGGGCCCCAGAGTGATAGTGATGTAAGCAGCCGTGTCCGGTGTTTACACCACAGCTCTCCTCTCTCCCACGGGCTTTCTGTGTGGGGGGGGGCTGATCCTGAATCAGTGATCCTGTCTGTTGTGTCTCATGTCTCTTCTGCCGCTGACGACCACAGGAGGAAGCGGAAAGAAGCGAGCAGCTCTCTGGAGGAATGTGCCAGGGCCGTGGGGAGTGGTGACCAAACCGACTCGCTGAGGGCCACGTCGCTTCAGGTGAGTGGGTAAACATTTACCCCGTGAACGCCTTTGTCAGCATGTGATTTAAGTAGCTGGCAGATTGTTTGCTGAGAAAGTTGTAACCTCACATTACTGTGCACGCCTCCATGCCTCGGCCGCTGCCCACTGCGTCATCTGACCCTGCGTGAACGTTTCTGCTGCGTTTGCAGGACTGTAAACACTCGGTTTGCGCTCTCCCAGGTCTTCATGGACCTGCTGCAGGACTCCAGTCACACCATGTGGGGCCTGAACGTCCGATTGAAGGACTTCATGGAGCAGGTGAGCCGGCTGCAGGAGGCCAACCGCCAGCTGGAGGCCCAGATAGCCGACTGGGGTGCCAGGATCAGCTCGCGCGGTCACAACTGGACCCAGCAGGAGCAGATCGCCAAGGAGCTCCGTTCTCAGGTCAGATCCTTTAGATGATTACTGGAAATCACCTTTTCAGCTGCTTTGACCATGATAAAGATCAGATTTATGCATTAGGAGCCGTGCGCGTGTGTGTTTGCATGAGATTAAACTTAAAACACAGCTTATTGTGCTATCCCTGTGGCACAGAAAGTCATGTGAATGTTCTCATACGGGCCACCTAAAGTGCAAATTAAAGGCTTAAAGCTTTGTGCTTGATGGTGTAATGAGTTAATTTACATGTTATTTAATTAGCCATAAGACATAAGATTCCATAGTAAATATGAAATCAATCTTATGGATCTGTGGGTACTGTTTAACCAGAAGATTGGAACTTTTTATTACAGGGATTAGATAACAGCTTCGTATTCACTCAGAGACAACAGAAGAGAGTCAAGTTTAAAGATTTATTACTAAACAAATTAAAACTAGACTTTAACACTAAATGTATGGTGTAACTAAGGTGGATGAGACGGAGAATGGTGTAATGTTGAATCTTGTTCAGAACCAGCAAATCCAAAGAAGCGATTAGTTCTGGTGGGAATGAAGGCGATGTCTTCGTGTTAAGCTTTGGTTAGGAGATTCATAAACACATTCGACACCATTCCGTCGGCCTACGTACCCTTGTGGAAGTCCCCGTTAGATCAGGAATGTCGAGGTCCAGCTGGACCCTCTCTGGAACCGAAGCCGGTAGGAAAAGCAGCGGTTGCCAACCAGACCAGTCTTTGAGATACTTCCGGGTCACGACTGTTTATCGGCATCTAGCAAAACCCCAAACTGGGTCGTGATGGTTCAGCTTTTATTCTGAAAGGAACCGTTGCAGCAGGTGGAACAGCAACAGATTTTATCCAGCTTGTCGTTGGTTCTTTTGGCTGAAGAGGAAAGTTTCGGATTGGCCACTCCGACACTTCTCTAGAACGCTTTGAACTGGCGTTAGAGATGACGTGGGCATAGTTTTATACTTTGGATGTTTTGGTTTATGGTCAAATGAAAAGATGACAGATTTACCAAGCAGCACCAAAACCACGCCTCCGTCAAATCTGGTAGATTCTGATTGGATCAGTAAAAGCAATGTGTCGTCTCTTAACGCTACGTGAGATCAGTCCTAGTGGAAACATTTAAAGTCATATTACTTATTATATTCTATAGGATTATAATAAAGTAATTACTATTTAGATTTCACAAATTGGTCACATCTTATTATTGACTAACTCTGTTTTATTAGCTTTATTAAAATAGAGTTCTTTGATTAATTAAAAGAAAATAGTTCATTCTTCATTCTTCTGTTGAGCTGAAATGAAGCAGTTTAGAGCGAATGCATGAGACCTTGAGACCATATCACATGCAGACTAGTTCTGTGTCAGAGGAGAGGGGGCAAATGACTTTTGGTGGAAAACAGTCATTTTATTCTGTTACAATGGTATTTTTATTTAAAATATCATCTTCTGGCAATAAATGACAGTAAAGCACCAGAAACAGGACTGAGGCTGTAATGTGATGATCAACCTCATATTTGTATTTGAGACCAGATCACAGTGACAGAAACTTTCAACACTTTGGTGTAAGATGTAATAATCTGAAAGGTGAGAATGAAATCTTCATCAAAGAAGCGTTCTGAGAGGAACTGAAGCACCTGGTGTGTCATCAGGTCTGGACTGAAGCCAGATGCAATCACGCTGATTGTCACACACCTTGGAAAGAAAACAAAACTCTTTGAGGGCCTTTTAACTCAAACATAAACCGCGGCAGCGATCTCACATGGCTCAGCTTCACGTCCTCACCCCTGATCCACGAGCATCGTTTCAAGGTCTGTTTCGACGACGTTTCCATAGAAACCCTGTTCGGTTCTTTGTCTGCTGATCCTGGGAGTGCTTCCATGTCAACACGCAGGATTCATTCGGTTTATTCTCTTTTTATTTTCTGTTCGCTCTTGAAGAGGACTCAACAGCCTGTAAGGCACAGCGGAGGGATTACTCGCCTTTCAGAGGGTGCGCTAACGCCCTCATAAGAGAGAGACGGTGTGTTCAGTAAAGTCTGGGAATTTTCAATATTGTGTTTGGCTCTCCTTCAATCTGGGCGTTTTGCATTCAGAGAGCATGAAAAGGTTTTAAAAATCAGAGCGAGACACTTTTCAACGTTTCTTTGATTATTATTTTTATCAGAATTTGGTTTTTGATCTTTTTTATTGTCATAAGTATTTTTAAGTAAAAAATAATGCATGGAAATCGAGGAGCCTCTGAAATGTTTTGGTTTATTGGTTTAGGTGCAGATCTGGTTTTAACCCAGTTTTCCCAAAGTTTAAAAAACCTAACAAAAGTTTGGACTTTAAAGGAGCAACATGTACGAGAGACAAAGAGCAGCCCGAAGACCTCTTATGATGAATTATATAAGTGCGAACCGTGTTCCCTCGCCCGGACGTGGGTCACCGGGGCCCCCCTCTGGAGCCAGGCCTGGAGGTGGGGCACGTTGACGAGTGCCTGGTGGCCGGGCTTTCACCCATGGAGCCCGGCCGGTCACAGCCCGAAGAGGAAACGTGGGTCCCCCTTCCCATGGGCTCACCACTCGTGGGAGGGGCCAAAGGGGTCAGGTGCAGTGTGTGACGGATGGTAGTCGAGGGCGGGGACCTTGGCGGTCTGATCCTCGGCTACAGAAGCTGGCTCTTGGAACATGGAATGTCACCTCTCTGGTGGGGAAGGAGCCTGAGTTGGTGTGTGAGGCTGAGAGGTTCCGACTAGATATAGTCGGACTCACTTCAACGCATGGCTCTGGCTCTGGGACCAGTTTCCTTGAGAAGGGTTGGACTTTCTACCACTCTGGAGTTGCTCCCACTGAGAGGCGCCGAGCAGGGGTGGGCATACTAGTTGCCCCCCATCTTGGTGCCTGTACGTTGGAGTTTACCCCAGTGAATGAGAGGGTAGCCTCCCTCCACCTACGTGTGGGGGGTCGGGTTCTGACTGTGGTCTGTGCTTATGCACCAAACTACAGTTCAGACTACCCACCCTTTTTGGAGACCTTGGAGGGGGTGCTGGAAAGTGCTCCTTATGGTGACTCCCTTGTTCTGCTGGGGGACTTTAACGCTCACGTGGGCAACGACAGTGAGACCTGGGGAGGTGTGGTTGGGAGGAACGGCCCCCTGATCTGAACTCGAGTGGTGTTTTGTTATTGGACTTCTGTGCCAGTCATGGATTGTCCATAATGAACACCATGTTCAGACATAAAGGGGTCCATATGTGCTCTTGGCACCAGGATACCTTAGGCCGCAGCTCAATGATCGACTTTGTTGTTGTTTTGTCTGACCTGCGGCCGCATGTCTTGGACACTCGGGTGAAGAGAGGGGCGGAGCTGTCAACTGACCACCACCTGGTGGTGAGTTGGCTCAGATGGTGGGGGAGGATGACGGTCAGACCAGGCAGGCCCAAATGTATCGCAAGGGTCTGCTGGGAAAATCTGGCAGAGTCTCCTGTCAGAAGGAGCTTCAATTCCCACCTCCGACAGAACTTCCAAAATGTTCTGGAGGTGGCGGGGGACATGGAGTCTGAATGGACCCTGTTACGTGCCTCCATTGTTGAGGCGGCCGACCGGAGCTGTGGTCGCAGGATCGTCAGTGCCTGTCATGGTGGCAACCCCCGAACCTGCGGGTGGACACCGGCGGTTAGGGATGCTGTCAAGCTTAAGAAAGAGTCCTGTCAGGTCTTTTTGGCCTGTGGGACTCCAGAGGCAGCTGACAGGTACCGGCAGTCCAAGCGGAACGTGGTTCGGGTGGTCACCAAGGAAAAAACCCGGGCATGGGAGGAGTTTGGTGAGACCATGGAGCAAGGCTTTCGTACGGCTTCGAGGAGATTCTGGTCCACCATCCGGTGCCTCGGGGGGGCTGCTGACCTCTGCTCAGGACATTATCGATCGGTGGGCAGAATACTTCGAAGACCTCCTCAATCCCACCAACACGTCTTCCAGTGAGGAAGCAGAGTGTGGGGACTTCGGGTTGGCCTCTCAAATCTCTGGTGCTGAGGTCACTGAGGTGGTTAAAAAGCTCCTCTGTGGCAACGCTCCAGGGGTGGATGAGATCCGCCCGGAGTTCCTCTGGATGCTGTGGGGCTGTGTTGGCTGATGCAGCTCTGCAATATCGCGTGGACATCGGGGGCAGTCTTACTGGACTGGCAGACCGGGGTGGTGGTCCCCTTATTTAAAAAGGGGGACTGCAGGGTGTGTTCCATCTACAGGGGGATCACACTCCTGAGCCTTCCTGGTATGGTCTATTCAGGGGTTCTGGAGAGGAGGGTCCGTCGGATTGTTGAACCTCAGATTCAGGTGGAGCAATGCGGTTTTCGTCCTGGCCGTGGAACACTGGACCAGCTCTATACCCTCAGGGGGATCCTGGAGGGTGCATGGGAATTAGCCCAACCAGTCTACATGTGTTTTGTGGATTTGGAGAAGGTGTTTGACCACGTCCCTCGGGGGGCCCTGTGTAGGGTACTCCAGGAGTATGGGGTACCAGACCCTCTGATACGGGTTGTTAGGTCCCTGTATGGCCGGTGCCAGAGCTTGGTCCGCATTGCCAGCAGTAAGTTGGGCTCATTCCCAGTGAGAGTTGGACTCCGCCAAGGCTGCCCTTTGTCACTGATTCTGTTCATAACCTTCATGGACAGGATTTCTAGGAGCAGCCAAGGTGTGAAGGGCATCCGTTTTGGTGGCCTTAGGATCAGGTCTCTGCTTTTTGCAGATGATGTGGTCCTGTTGGCTTCATCAGAACGTGATCTTCAGCTTTCGCTGGAGCGGTTCGCAGCCGAGTGTGAAGCAGCTGGGATGAGAATCAGCTCCTCTAAATCGGTTTTCTCCATTTACAAACACCAAGTGGAACGTAGTTACCGTTTACAGCCTGTGATGTTGCTGAGTTAACGCTGCAGTAATTCAACACAAATATGTAAATAAAGCAGATATGACAACGCATGCAACATCTTGCTGTCTATGACTCGTCTTTTCCTGTCATCTAGCATCTTCTGGCGCTGATCCATTACAGGCAGCAGCCATGAAACTCGCAGAACGGGAGTGAGAGAGTAACTTTTTGTTTGGATAGACTTCAGTAACCAAATTGGACCACATGATGTAATTCCTACATCATTCTTCCATATTACATATTTACAGTGGAGTTTGGGTTATTTTGACATTATCTCAACATGTTTTAAATAAAGAATAAAAACTTTATACAGATGTTTTTTGTGTTTTTTTTTTTGTCTTTTGCAGTTATTGCTTCCATCGTTGCTCCGATGTGGAGTTTTGAAAGCAAAACCAGGAGGTGATTTTCCACGCTAGCCTGGCCTGCCAGATTCATCCTGTTTAATTCTACACAGGAAACCAGTCTGGTTACTCACAGGCAGAGAGGCACATGAGGGGCGGGGCTAGCCAGGCTTTTAGCTCTTCTTCTTCTGGTTATAAAGACGTGTTCAACAGAGGAAACTCCACTTTAGACGCTGTCTTTGTTGTCTAACAGAAACTGAGCGTTATGGTGTGTGACGTACGCCGCTCAGTGCTGATTGGCTCGGTTAGAATTCTCAGGGGGTGGGGTTATTTGAATAGGAGAGTTCTCAGGCCCGTGATTGCCATAAGGAAGCATGAGGCTGGCTGGTCTATGGGGTTAGACCCGTGCCAAAACGGTCCACATCGCGCGCGTGTGAACGGGACTCGCGAGTGAAAATATACATGGCGAGAGGTCATTTGTGCACTGAGAGGGAGCAAGGATGTGCACAAGTGACAAACCTGCGTGCGTGCGTTGCCAACGAGCACACGGCAGAGGAAAACGTGCGCGCGGCAGCCTCTCTGCGCGCTCGCTTTCTGACTCCGCTCGCTCGGCTGTTAAGGGGTTTTGGCACTCTGGAGGCGTGGCCTGTGGCAGATCTTCTCTGTCCTCTGATTGGTTAGTTTTGCCCGCACTTTACCCTCTACCTCATTGGCCCATTGGCTTCCTATCGGACCAAAATGATGGCAGCTATATAAAAAAATCTGATATTCAGTACTTTTTGTCATAGCTCAGCTGGTAGAGTGGGTGACTCTCCTCGCGGAGGATCCAGGTTCGAGTCCGGGCAAGGAAAATAGAGTAGGTGTTATGCTATTTTTTCCTAATTCCTTTGATATTATTTTACAGTTGTGACCGTTCAACTGTCATTAAATGTCCGAATGTTTGCTGGGCAGTGTTTTAAAAAGTGCACATAAGCTAGATGGTTTTAACCATATAAAATTATATTTTTTTGTTATACTGGAAAAATACATACTGAAATAAAACCACTGATTGAAAACTTTATGACTGTGGTTGTACAATATATGAGTCACTAATACACTGCAAAGGCCCTTAGAGTGGGGCTTCCAGAGAGAGAGAGAGAATTTGTATTCTGTCAAAGTTGTAATATTACTTCAGCCACTCTTGAGAGGAGACCCCAGGTAAAAATAAACTTGTGGGTGTAGGTATGTTCAAGTTTAAAAAGTTCTTGCCTCATTAATGAATAGTTTTTTTTTCAGCATTTAATTGACAAACTATCCTTTCAAATAATTAATTGATGAGTTACATAATTGTCCATTTAGAATTGTTGAATGGACTGAGTCAAGTTTGGTGCACTTTATATATTTCAAAACATGTTTTTTTTATTTTAATGATGCATATAAATAATTTAAATGTTATTTTAATGAAAAATTTCTATTTTTTCATTACCTCACCCTTGTTTTGACAAAAACTGGACCTTGCTGGATAATATCACGGAGAAACTATTTGTTCACAGTACATGGCTCAGTGAGGATCTGTATACCAAAGGAGGAGATACTCAGAAATCTGTCTGCAGATTGTTACAACCCAGACTGGAAGTGGTGGGCTGTAATAAGAAAGGAGACCAAACAGAGGAGTGGGGGGTTCAACAACTGATTTATTTAACCAAAGTAAGGATTTACTAAAGCAAGTTAGTGAACAGAAAATGGCCAGTGAGGACTCTCCACCACACAGCAGAGACCCAGTGAAAGCAGAAAAACAGTAGGCTTTGTAGGCAGCACCACACCCTGAGCCCAGGTGCCTCCAAGGCTGCTTAACGAGCTGCCTACAACAGAAGAAAAACCTTCGACATCTTGTTTTCTCCTGGCTGAGCTTCTGGCTGAGCTAAAAGGCACGGAGAAAGGTACAAAATATGACCAATCAGAGGACAGAGAAGATCTGCCACAGGCCACGCCTCCAGAGTGCCAAAACCCCTTACAGCCGAGCGAGCGGAGTCAGAAAGCGAGCGCGCAGAGAGGCTGCCGCGCGCGCACGTTTTCCTCTGCCGTGTGCTCGTTGGCAACGCGCGCACGCAGGTTTGTCACTTGTGCACATCCTTATGCGCTCACAGGCACAGTTTGCTCCCTCTCAGTGCACAAATGACCACTCGCCATGTATATTTTCACTCGCGAGTCCCGTTCACACGCGCGATGTGGACCCATGCACGCGGAATCTGCGTGCACGGGTTTTGGCACGGGTCTAACCCCATACTGGCCAGGCTATTTTCTTGTAGGTTTCCTTAGGAGGAGCTTTGGAAGGATCAAGTGTCAGGGAGTGAGGGATGGATGGATGGATGGATGGATGGATGGAGGGAGGGATAGATGGATGGATGGATGGATAGAGGGATGGATAGAGGGATGGATGGATGGATGGATAGAGGGATAGAGGGATAGATGGAGGGATGGATGGATCTGCACATTGAACCTGTTCTTGTGTTTTTGTCAGATCTGTGAACTTCTGATGGAGAACGCCCAGCTAGCCTTACAGTCCAACAACATGAAGTCCAGAGCTGCTGAGATCCAAACCAGGTCAGCGGTGACGTTCCTCTTTTTCCAAGTTGGGAATAAACATCAAGAATGATCTGAAATATTTAATGTGCTGGAGGTCATTCAGGTAGAGGAGTGATGCTCTGACACGCCTGGTTCAGGGGTTCAGTTACCACCTTGTCAGGTCATGATGCTCAACAGAAACCAGGTTCAGATCAGGTGTGTCGAAGCAGAAATAAGTCTAGAACCTGCAGGACAGGGTCCTCCACGACCAGCATTGGGCTCCGCTGAGATGAGGCGTCACATTTGAAGAGGGTTGCAGGTGAACTGAAAGATGATGTTAACGTCTGAAGGACTATTTCCTGTTTTCACCCTGCTGTTGTGCTTCTTCAGCCCCTTGTAACTGAACTCGGATCAGTTCCCGCTCCCGTCAGGCGAGGCTTTGTGCTGCGTCATCACTCTCACTCATGCGTTGAATAGAGTGACACCGGGCACGCCCAGCGCTGTCGGCCGTTAACTCATGAAGGACGGCAGCAGCTCCTTGTTCTTTTCATAGCCCCTCCCCCCAACCGTCTGGTTCTGTTCACATCACGATAAGGATGATGATCAGATGAAGTCCTGTTCGGTTATTTTGGCACCAAGCTCCGGAACAAACTGCAGCCAAACTGGCTTATTCAGCTGAAGCCACAGCTGACTGAGCCTCGTTTAACGCTCTGGGATTTTGTCAGCTTCCTAATTAGTCTAACTGATTCTGGATCTGTTGCGTCACAACTAAATGCATGTAGCATCAGTTCATCTCGTACTACTGGGCTTGACCTCTGGTCATTTAAATCTTCTAGGTGTGAGATGGAGGAGAGGAACACCAGACGTCTGGAGCAGCAAGTTGCTCAGCTCCGGGAGGCAAAGCGGAGGGCGGACGTGCGCGGCGTGACGCTGCAGGATGAGTGTCACCGCGCCATGACACAGCTGCATCACATGGACCAGGAGTTTCAGGCAAGGGCGCCCCCAAGAAAACTGCTGCCCCCCCCCCCCAGGAAAAGCTAGTGTTGACAAATAATATTAATGTTCAGTCTAACCAAATATTGATCTTGTTTATTCAAGACATAATTGTAAAACAAAATAAAAATATTATAATTACTGAGTAAAGAATTAATCAGAATTATTAAAAATTCACACGTTTCTGCTGCTCACCATTATAAAAAAGTTTTTATCTCCATAGTTTTTGTGTGAACACAACAACAGGCGAATTAACCTAAAAAAATGCATTTTTAAATGTAATTTGGGATAACATTTTAAATAACTGAAATGTCTTTTCCGAAATGGTTGTTTAAGTTAAATGTTTTGGATACGAACTTTATTTTTAATAAAAACAAATAAAGGAGCAATGCAGCACATCGCCACAGGCTAAACTCTCCCAGAGTTACCACAAGCACCAATTTGGTGTGCCACCCCAAAAATGACTTTGGCCCCATCTGGCCACCCCTATCAACATTTTCTGGAGGCGCCCCTGGTTTCAGGTCACTGTTTCACTCACATTTCCTGCTTCTTTGTTGCAGAATCATTTACCAGCATTTAATTTATTATGAAGCAATTTCCTGGCCTGCTGCGGCTCTGAAACCCACCAGCTCTACATCTGAATAAAGAACAAGGCCGTATTTTTGACCTTTTTAACCAAAAGTTAGCATCTTAACCCTCTGGAGGCAGGCGTTGCAGATTAGCAACGTTAAAACCTACCTACCTGGTTACTCCACACACGTATCTCACAAGCATTTTTTAACTCAGTAGTACCCCCCGAAGGATTTAGTTGTTCGTCCTTTTATCAAAACTTATTTTGAGCCTGCGGGGGTTAACAGCTCCTAGCAGCTGGTTTACTTTGAGGTCTGCTTCTTACTTCTATACAAATGTCAAATAAACACCTAAAGCCCCCCCCCAATCCTTCTTTCCTCATCACATCATTACTAGATAAACTTTCGCTATTCTAAAGTATCGGACTTTCAAGACCAGTCGGTCTGCTTTTTGTGGTTTTCAGGAAGATTTTTCTTTTTTGGCAACTTAAGAGAGGAAGGAGGTCGGCCAATGTGTCCGACGATTTTCGGTAAGTCTGCAAACTCTGTTAAATAACTGATTACCTGCAGGCACTCACAGCTAAAACTTGAAGAATGAAGTGAGAGTGACACTCTGTGGTGAAATCTGGGTACTGCGCTCCATGTTTCCAAACAAATTCCGTTTGTGAGTTTCATGGCTGTTGCCAGCCACGGATCAGCACCGGAAGATTCTAGATGACATGTCAGGTTGCCCAGACGTCCCGCATTTTCATTACTTTTCACACGCCTGCAAATTGAGACTCTGTCCCGCATTACTGACAGTCTCACGTTTTGAGTTTCAGTCTTCCATAAAATGTGTGAAGAAAGCTGCCCGTTGCTGTCAGTCAAGCTAGGAGGCGGAACTTTAACGCAGGTCCAGAGCCCCCGACGCGTTCACCAGAACCACCAAAACAGAAGCGTCAGTGAGCACGGACGATGGATGAGCGCGGTAGACTCGTGGGACTCTGACAGAGTCTTTCTTGTTTCTCAGAATCATTTTTTTCGTGTCACGGCGCGGAGTCCGATATGAAACTGAGCAGAAAATTACACAAACGTGTCGGTCAGAAGCAGGTTTCCCAGTGACTAGACAGGTTCATGCTAAAGAGGTGCTGGGGTTGTGTTGTTTCACATGCAGACAAGCTAACCCCTTTTAAAGCACAGTAAAGGAATAATGAGAGGATTAAGTAGAAGCCTTCGTTACTGAATCTGAGTATTCAGGACAAAAGTAACTGGAAGGAACTCAGTAACTAGATCAGGTCAGATTATTTTCAGAGATTAAAGTCAGTGATGTTCTTTTCTGTCCCCCAAATATCTAATGTAGGAGATTTGTTCATTTTAGAAAACATTTTGTTCCTAAATTAAAGAGCAAGTCACCCCCTACCAGATTATTACTCCACTCCCACTTCCTGTTTGAAAAATGCAACAAATGCTGTTGCCTAGCAGACTGAGAGGGCGGAGCCGCTAACAAATACACACACACGGGCTCACAACGACATTGTGACATCATATGTTACCAGCTAACGTTCTAGGGTACCTCTTAGCTAATAGCGATGGCAGATTTAAATTCAAATGCAGTGCAGAGTTTTTACCTGACAACGGCACAACACTGACAGTTTTAGGCAGAAAATTTAAATGTAAGTAAAGTGCAAAACTATTGACGACACGTGTCTGCAGCACGATTAGACACGCATTTATATAGTTTATCAGAAAAAAATTGTTGATTTGGGGGTGACTTGCTCTTTAAGAAGAAAAACATTAGGAAAAAAAATAGATGTTTTTTCATCGGGATGTTGATTCCAGTGGAAAATCTAAATGGTCCGTATTTGTATAGTGCCTTCTCAGGGTTCTACAACCCCCCAAGGCGCTTTACAACACATTCAGTCATCCACACGCTGGTGATGATGAGCACAGCTGCCCTGAGGCGCACTGACAGAGGCGAGGCCTGCCAAACACAGGCGCCGCCGGTCCCTCCGACCACCACCAGCAGGCAAAGCGGGTTAAGTGTCTTGCCCAAGGGCACAACAGCAGCATTCTCTGGTTGGAGCCGGTATCGAACCTGCAGCCCTCCTATTACCGGACAACCCGCTCTATCTCCTGAGCTTCTGCTCATTTTCTAAAATGAGTTGATAGTTTAAAAGCGCTTTAGCTAAAGCTGGTCAGAGCTGCTGAGCTGAGTGAAGCGGAGGAAACGGTGAAGCAAGCTTCAAGCTTTTGCCGCTTGCTTCTTCAAGTTTAATTCAAATAGAATCTACGGTGCATGAAATATGTGAAGATAATAATAATTTTGTGTATATTTAAAAGTGATGTTGGAGCTAAATGTTGGAACAGATTTTTTTTACTTGATCTCGTTGCGTCGGAGTTTCACGTCGTCCCACATCGACTAGTCTCTCTCCCACATTTGGCGAGTTGGAATCTGGTCACCCTTCCTCACCCACAGAAAGCTGATGAGTAGATAAATATATTTACCCATAATATTGAGTTGTTTGTAGCTTGAGGTATTTTTAGAGCTGGCTCTTTGCTTCTAATTCATCGTTAGCATTGTTAGCTCAGTATTAGCCTTCTTCACCCGATTTTAGAGCAAAACAAAAGTCCTTTTACTTTCCTTTGCTTAACGCCGATGCTCTGTGAGCTGGTGCCAAATTACAAATGCTCTGCAACCAGGAAGTATGGAGGTGGGACAGGTTGAAAACAAACACTGAGTCCCTCTTTGGCCTTTTTAAAATGAATAAAACAGACCAACCCCCCACGCCCCCCCACCCCACCCCCCCTTGCCGGCTCAGAAGGAAACCTGTTGATGAAGAAAACCTTCCTGCCGACATGACTGAGACATTAGACTGTTTTGTGATTATTTCACTGTAAAATGTTGACGTTTTGCACTCCTACCTGTGTGGAAGCAAAGCTAACTCAGCTGATGTGTTAGCCGTGGAGCCGCGCTGTGAGCGTTACGGTCAGGATTTCACTTTCCTGAGAAAACGCTTCTGACTGGATGGCTGCGTGACCTTGTCCTGGTTTAGCTGGTTTAAAGACAGCTAATTGCATGAGATGATGCTAGACGTGTAATTATGAGAATGGTTATTGTGATGTGAGGTGAATGATAAGTTTCAGCGGTAACAGTCCTGTAATGATTGGGTGTGTTTGTTGCTCTGGAACTGCAGCATCTTCTGGTTCCTCCTGTCCGTCACCCCGACCTCCTCCACCTCTCCTCCCTCCATCCCCTCTGATTCCTGCTGACTAATACTCCCCTTCCACCCTGCTTTCAGGGTCCTTTCCTGCTCACACACATATCAGCACACGTGAATTTGAGTCTCCATCTCTTTTCTTGCCTCCGCATTGCGTGGTCCGTCCATCTCACACTCACACACACATTCACACTCCTCTATATCTGTTACAGGTTCCTTTCGTCTCACTGGCATCGCTTTCATCTCCACGTCTTGTTATTTTTTTTTCTCCATTTGCATCCTCCTCCCTCCCTCTCTCCCTCCTTTCCTCCCTCTGGTTGGCTGTTTGCAGGCAGCCCGGGTTCTGCAGCTGCAGCGGGCCGAGTCTTGCGATGCTCTGTTAGCCGCATCAGCAGGAGGAGGGGAGGAGGAGGATGGCACAGGGATGGAGCTCACCCAGCTCTTCGACCGAATCAGAGCGCAGTGCGACCAGAGCAGACCTCAGGGCCCGGTCGAGAGACTCCCAGGACCGAGAGCGGGCTCAGACCCAGCCCCCGGCTCTGCTGGGCCTGACTGGTCCGGAGGTGCAGCAGCAGCTTCCAGAACACTCAGAGGAGCTCTTAATGAGGTATGCATCCTCTCCCACGTCCTCATCCATGTCTTGATTTTCTCTGCATAATGTTCTGGCTCTGAGCCACTCAGACACGCCCTCAGGACAAACTCACAGACCTGAGCATCTACGATGAGAGGTTGTAGGTTTAAATCCTTCCGTCTGTTAATCTGAGGGTCAGCCTCTCTTAATCTCAGAGATCAACTTCATTAAACATTTAATCCACAGCATGAACCTGTTTATTCTCCAGAAGCTGTATGCAGGTTTATCGTTTGTGTTGGGAGAAGCTCGGCTTTGGGTTCACGGTTCTGGTGTTTCTACCTCAGCAGCACGTCCGATAAAGTGCCTCCACCAGAGTTGCAGCGGTAAATCAGAGCAGCTCTTATTAAACGCTGTTGTTTACAGCAGAGCTGCCCTGTGTGGCTGTTACACAATCCTGCAGTCCAAACCCGGACCGTCACGACGGGAGGTCGGGTATTTTTAGACTAAGATGCTGATAAATGTTCGAGGTTTGGCACGCGGTGGTCCTAGAGACGGATCAGTTCCTCTAAATCTGAGACCGTGGTCTTGATTCGGAAAAGGGTAGAATGCCTTCTCCGGGTCGGGGATGAGGTCCTGCCCCAAGAGGAGGAGTTTAAGGATCTCGGGGTCTTGTTCACGAGTAAGGGAAAGCTGGAGCGTGAGATCGATAGGCGGATTGGTGCTGCATCTGCAGTGATGCGGGCGTTGTACCGGTCTGTCGTGGTGAAGAGAGATCTGAGTCAGAAGGCGAAGCTCTCGATTTACCGGTCGATCTACATTCCTACCCTCATCTATGGCCACGAGCTTTGGGTAGTGACCGAAAGAACGAGATACAAGCGGCCGAAATGAGTTTTCTCCGCAGGGTGGCTGGGCTCTCCCTTAGAGATAGGGTGAGAAGCTCGGCCATTCGGGAGGGGCTCGGAGTAGACCCGCTGCTCCTCCACATGGAGAGGAGCCAGTTGAGGTGGCTCGGGCATCTGGTCAGGATGCCTCCTGGACGCCTCCCTAGTGAGGAATCCGGGCACGTCCAATCCAGAAGGAGACCTAAAGGAAGACCCAGGACACGTTGGAGGGACTATGTCTCTCGGCTGGCCAGGTCGCCTTGGGATTCCCCCGGAGAAGCTGGCCCAAGTGGCTGGGCAGAGGGAAGTCTGGGCCAGGGGCGTGTCCAGGGAATGGCCCAGGGTATCACATGCCCCCTCCCCTCCCCACTGAGTTTTGTTGAAACTGACTCCAAAAGGCTCGGGGTTTTAAACCCCACAGCGGTAGGTGGCAGCGTGCCTCTTTAACTTTGATTTCCGGCCCCGGGCAACAGAACACTTCTGTTTTACTATTATTGTTAAGTAGTTTTCACATTTATATTCATACACTGTAGTGTAAAGCACTTTGGAGTCCTCTGACTCTCATTTATCATAAATATTATTTAGCGTCCCCGGACCCTAACCCTCACAAAACAGGCCAGAGAAGAAAAACAGAGGAATTCTGAAGAGCTGTTGATCAGGACCTCTTTGGGAATAAATAACAGCGTTAACCATCATCAGGCTGCTCCAGTTCAGTCGTGGGGGAGGGGCTGTTTCATCCCATCAGTCAAATTTATGTTTGAATGTTTTTCGAGCTTCTGGGATCTGATTGTTCACAGGAAATAATCACATTCAAACGACTTTATCACGCTCATCCTAAACAAACACAAGTCAAATCCAGGTTCGTCAGAAACAACACGCAGATCGTCGCTGAACCAGAAGCTCCAACGGGCACTCATTTGGAGAGAGTCGTGTGTAAACTTGTTTTGGTGAGATTCTCGTCCAATCAGAGAGCAGAAACAGAGAAAAAACCTGAAACAACCCAAGTCTCCTTTCAGTTTTCACCAACAACATGTTATCATAACTGCTGCTTCGCTGCATCGAAAGGTGGGTGTAGACACGCCCAACAGCTGTACACACACACACACACACACACACACACACACACACATGCTCACACACACACACACACACACACACACACACACACACACACACACACACACACACTCACACACAACCTGGCCCAACCTGGAATCAGCAGAACCAACATCACCGCTCGCTGCCTCTTCTCCTCTCAGGCTGAGAGCCAGTAGGAAGCGAGACACAAAAATAAATAACACCCGCACACGGGGCGTCACTTTGTTTACCTGAAGTTTTATCTTACATAAAACTCCAACAGGAGATGTGGGTTTGTTCTGGAGGAAACCTGAGTTTGACTGTTTCTGGAGTAACATCTGGACCTCCTCTCCTCGCGCAGGAAGAGGCAGCGTGGGCGCAGGTGAGCCTCGGCGGTGCAGCCCTGAGGGAGGCGCGGGCCGAGCTGGCGGAGGCCAGGAAGCAGTGGCGCTGCCTGCAGGTGGAGATGGAGACGCTCCACGCCTTGGTGAGAAAACACCACTTCTCACCCCACCCAGGTCTGACAACGATAACTCGTCTTCAGAGCAGGAGAAACATGTCTCCTGTTGACTTAGAGGTGGAGATACGATCATCCGTCTGACAAGGAAGAGCACACAACCATCTCTGCTGGTTCTGCACCATTAGCTGTGGAAACCTTTCAGTCCTGATAATAATTTTCACAAAGCAAACAACAGATTTTTACTTTTCATTTTTGCTGCTGCTGTTAAAAAAAAAAGCTAAATCAGTAAAACTGTAGAGTTGCTGCTGGAAGTTAAATCGATCCCCGGTAACGTCGCCTCCCGAGAGGAGCCGACCGGATCTGAGCTAAAAGAACAAGATCAAAAGTCCTGAGGTGGAAAAAAGTCCAGAAATAACAAATAAAGAAAGAAAAACGTAAAGGCAAAACTAACTAGCTAAACCGAACAATGACAACCAGTGGCGGTTTTACCATTAGGCATAGGTCAGCGGCCACCTGGGGCCCCCTTATGTTGGGGGGCCCCCTAGCTCTGACTGCTGGCACCCCTCTGTTAATGCCACAATGGACTATTCCTTTAAGGCGCCGATGCACAAACAGGAAGTAGTTGGTAGTCATTCCACTCCAATCCAGTTGGTGGCGGTAATGCACCAAATTGTTGTTTACCACGTGTCATAAGACCACAAATAAGAAGAAGAAGAAGAGAGGCAGTAGCGTTCGTAACAAACTCGAAGCGGTAGTCAAAACATTTAGCATGAAATAGAGTTATCCTTGTGGCTCCAATGAGAACGAAGCAGCATGCTTCAAACAAGCTTTTATTTTCACTTCCAAAAGTGACGTCGTTATACTACGTAAACATCAAAAGGAAGCAGAAAGGAAAGACAATGGAAAATGTTTAAAGGGATAAAAACATAGACCAAAATGGAAAATAGAAAAAAAAAAGCAAAAGCACAGGAGCACTGACAGGAAGAAGAAATATTGAAGGCACTGAAAGGGAGGGAAAGACAGGAAAAAAGAGGAGGACTAATATAAAGTGAAAATAACTCGTGTCAGAAGAGGGGAGAGTTTCGCAAATCCAGCTAAAGATAAGATTGTCGAAAATTTTGTGTAAGGGGGCCCCATGTCTGTGTTCGCCTTGGGCCCCCAAATTGCTAAAACTGCCACTGATGAGAGGAACCGGAAATCAAAATAAGCAGAATTCGTAGCAAAAGTACATAAAACATAAAAGTTTAGATGCAAAATGTAGGAAAATGTTTCACAACTAAAACTGAGACTAAGAAAAAAGGATAAAGTCATCATCTCTTCTTCTTCCGGCTCTTGGAGAGTACAGACGCTTTTTTTCCTCCTCTCCTCCCTGTCTTATCCCTCTCTTTGTCTGTCTCTGGGTGTACGGCTGCTTCTGCATTTTTTCTGGAAAACTGGAAACTGAAATTATAAAAAATGGACCTGGTCAGTTGGTCTCTCAACGTGATTGACAAAATTTTTTCAACGATGACAACGGGAGAAGGGGATCCCGGGTGCCCCTCTGGGACAGATCCAGCTGGGCATATCATGGACTCCTGGAAACAGTGGAACCTGATCTGCCTCTCTCAACTGTCTGTAGAGAATTCTGAAGACGTCTGGATATTCGTGGTGTTGGTGTCAGGTTTCCTGCTTTTTGGCCTGGGAGGTTACCCGGCTTACCGGAAAATTAAACTGTCGAGGAATATTGGCTCTTTCCCGGAGCTCAGAGATAGATTGCACCGCGCTGTGAATGTGCAGACTCATATAATTGTCGAGATGAGTCGTAAGCTTGGAACTTTGGCTGAGATTCATGCGTTGGCACAAAAGATGGATGCCGTCAAGGAGCGACTTGACGAATCAGCACGGATTGGGATAGATTAATTTTAGGGATGCACCGATGGATCGGCATTTGATCGTAATCGGCCGATAGCGCCCCTATCGGTTTTGATCGGAATTTTCAAAATAGATCAAAGCAAACCGATCAGGTAGGGTTGTCACGGTAACCAGTGTAGCGCTAAACCCCGGTAAAAAAAAAAAAAAAAGTTGACAATAATAACCGTCTTGTTTTTAAAAACTATATTATCTTGGTGGATTACCATGGCTGCGGTGTAGGCGCGGTGACCCTTACCAGCCACCGTATCATCTGCAGAAGTTGCCGGCGGCACATACACGCTTTGTTTACAACCAAAACTTTCTTGATGCTAAAGCTGAAATAATGGTCAAAGGAGGAGACGGCAGCGCTCAGGAGGACATTTATTATCCCTCAAAGAAGACAAAGTCGGAAGTACGGGCATATTTTAGATATTTGAAGAATGCCGAGGGAGTTTATAGAAGACGGGCGGCTATCCTGTTTGCAGCACGAGCCGAAAAAGTGTCTGTGAAAGGCAGCAACGCTTCAAATCTCATGACACATCTGCGTGACCATCACCCACAACTCTACAGTCAACGCAAGGCAAGTTAACGTTAGCGTTTTAGCTAAAATGCGTGATCCGAAGATTTGGGTTGAGGGAGAATGCAATGAGTCGCTATATCAAGCAGCCGCAGCGCCGCTACCTGCATATAAACCGTGTCGCGGACACCCCCATGTTGAAATGACGCTATGCATTACGGGGCTCCCAGGGGCAGATAAGAGTTGGTCTCTCTCCGAGAATAATTATGAATTTAACAATGATACTGCCTGATGACATTTTCCCACATCTGCAAAGCTCACTGGTAAGGACACAAACCGAGGACAATATTTTCCTGAAATACGGATTGCTCAAGTAAGGGTAAAAAAAAAAAGTATCTGATTAGAAGGCTACTTGAGTACTGAGTATCATCTGATCTAATATTTTTAAATGATGACATCAAACAGACATAAAATACGAAGTTATGGGCAAATATTGGTATTTTAAAGACTAAAGGGGAAAAATGTAAACAAATAAACAACATAATTACAAAATAACACATTTTAGGCAAAATTTAGACACAAACTGTGGACAATATTTCTTGACATACAGGGTTTATTTAATTGTGTGAAAATGTAGCACGTTTAAAAAAAATACCGCGATAATACCGAAAACCGTGGTAATTTTGGTCACAATAACCGTGAGGTTAAATTTTCACACCGTGACAACCCTAGTACAGACCATTTTAGATTAGGTTACATTTCCTTTATTCCCAGATTATGTAGTTTGTAGCACTCATTATAATGTTGTAGAAAATTTCTGGCCTATCCACGTGATCGGTATCGGTGATCGGTATCAGTGATCAGCATTCTTTGATATCGGTATCGGTGATCGGCAGCAAAAAACCTGATCGGTGCATCCCTAATTAATTTACGCCGTTATTGGATTCAGAGGGGTTGAGGACCAACGGAACTTTAAGACAGAGAGGAAATTATCTCTGTCTGGCCCCAAAACAAGTTCTTATCTGAATCTGGTGCCCTTGAGCCTGTGGGGCTGAAATGCAAACCCCCCCCCCCCCCCCCCCCCCCCCCCCCCAACAAATGTGGAATGCTGTCGTCGCCCTGGCAACTCTGTCTCCCTATCCCAGCCTGGGCGGGACTGTGACCGGTGAAAGCTGCTGAATCGTTCCAGGAGTCACTACTCTCTAAACCCAACTACCTCCCTCCCCTGTCCAATCGGAGTTGACGAGCGCTGCTTATCGCGGCTGCATGCACTGATGTGTGGAGAGTCCCCAACCCTACCTCCCCACCTAGTGGACACTTATGTTGTGTAATGTCTGCAGTCTGTTGCATTTCTGTCTGAGGTGTTTTTTGCATAACAAAGCTGCCCTCCCTGTGGAGGGTAACTCTGAATTGCCTTTTTTTCCTCCACCTGAACCAATCCTCATATAAACCCTCTGATCTCTATTAAGGTAGCGTGACTCAGGTTGCGAATGACCACAGTCACCAATTCTTGTCATATGTCTTTGCCTATGTATGTCTGATCTCAGAATTGTGGGTACTGAAACTCTAATTTCCCTCTGGGATTAATAAAGTATCTTTGAATTTGAATTTGAATTTGAATTTAATCTAATGACTGTTTTCTTCGATAAAGCCAAATAGTTGCTCCACTTATGTTTATTAGACATTTTTAATTTGTCACAACCAACAATGCTCCCAGCAGCAGATCACGTCTGATCTAATGTCCCAGTAAGGATCCTAAAACGCTCCCTGTTCTCCTGTCACCAGGAGAAAGGCCTGGAGACCTCCCTGCAGCACACCCAGCAGCTGTACTCCAGCCAGCTCCATGACCTGTCTCAGGTGATCTCTGGGCTGGAGCGCGAGCTGGAGCAGGTGAGGAGCGGCCTGGCCACCCAGCGCCAGCGCCACAGCCATCTGCTCAACACCAAGATGAGGCTGGAGCGAGAGATCGCCACGTACCGCCGGCTGCTGGAGCGAGAGGAGGGCAGGTGAGGGTGCAGGGAGGGAAAGGGAATTCTGTGGTTTTGGCGTCGACATTCCTGCTGTGCAGTTTCTAGCTGAGAAAGTTTTGGTTTCGTGTTTCATAACCGTAGAAAGAAAAAAAGCACGTGGACTGGAGTTAATCGCCTGCTCCTCAGGACAAAGTCGACAAAACCACTTCCTGGTCATTTCCTCGTTCCACGAGCTGCCAGTAAATCCAGAATAAGTCTGGGATCGTGTAGAATTTGTTTGAATGGAAGCAGGAGATCCTGGATAATTACAGGTTAAACAGGAACTTTCTGCTCAGGAAACGTTCTGACAGGAAGTTGAGTGAGAACGCGGTTCCAGACACGCATCAGGGTCTGAGGTCTGCTTTGATCAGATCAGACCAACTTCTTCTGGTTTCCCGGTTTCTACCAGCATCAACCTGTTTGATGATGGGGCATTATCTCACATCGGCCCTTCATCATCTTCTCCTTCCGTTACTGCCTGAACCGTGTGATTGTTCCGTTGTAGCTGCAGGAGGGTAATTTAATGTTCCTGGGACAGAGGTCACCGACGGGCTGCAGACAGAACATCTGAGCTCACTTTCTGTCTGAAACTCCAACCCACCAACATCCTTCACTCGTAAAACGTGTCTTTGCTCATGTGAAGAACACAAATATTATCACTGGATAGAAGAGCAACGTTGGTTTGGGTTCAGGACTTGGACCAGAATGGATGGATGGATGGATGGATGGATGGATGGATGGATGGAAGGAAGGAAGGAAGGAAGTACGGACGAACGGACGGATAGATAGACGGAAGGATGAATGGACGGACGGATGGATGGAGGGAGGGAGGGAGGGATGGACGGACAGAAGGACGGATGGATGGATGGATGGACGGAAGGATGAATGGACAGATGGATTCACCGATGAATGAATAGATGGATGGATGGATGGACGGATGGATGGATGGACGGATGGATGGATGGATGGATGGATGGATGGATGGATGGATGGACGGATGGATGGACAGATGAATGGACGGAAGGATGAATGGACAGATGGATTCACCGATGAATGAATAGATGGATGGATGGATGGATGGATGGATGGATGGAAGGAAGGATGGATGGATGGATGGATGGACAGATGAATGGACAGATGTATGGATGGAAGGATGAATGGACAGATGGATTCACAGATGAATGAATAGATGGATGGATGGATGGACGGATGGAAGGATGAATGGATGGATGGATGGATGGATGGACAGATGGATGGACGGAAGGATGAATGGACAGATGGATTCACAGATGAATGAATAGATGGATGGATGAGTGGATGGATGGATGGAAGGATGAATGGACAGATGGATTCACAGATGAATGAATAGATGGATGGATGGATGGATGGAAGGATGAATGGATGGATGGATGGACGGAAGGATGAATGGACAGATGGATTCACAGATGAATGAATAGATGGATGGATGGATGAGTGGATGGATGGATGGATGGATGGATGGATGGATGGATGGAAGGAAGGATGGATGGATGGATGGATGGATGGATGGATGGATGGATGGATGGATGGATGGAAGGAAGGATGGATGGATGGATGGATGGATGGATGGACGGATGGATGGACAGATGAATGGACAGATGGATTCACAGATGAATGAATAGATGGATGGATGGATGGACGGATGGAAGGATGAATGGATGGATGGATGGATGGACAGATGGATGGACGGAAGGATGAATGGACAGATGGATTCACAGATGAATGAATAAATGGATGGATGGATGGATGGATGGATGGATGGACGGATGTATGGACGGAAGGATGAATGGACAGATGGATTCACAGATGAATGAATAGATGGATGGATGAGTGGATGGATGGATGGAAGGATGAATGGAAGGATGAATGGATGGATGGATGGACGGAAGGATGAATGGACAGATGGATTCACAGATGAATGAATAGATGGATGGATGGATGGATGGACGGATGGATGGATGGAAGGATGAATGGATGGATGGATGGACGGAAGGATGAATGGACAGATGGATTCACAGATGAATGAATAGATGGATGGATGGATGGATGGACGGATGGATGGATGGAAGGATGAATGGATGGATGGATGGACGGAAGGATGAATGGACAGATGGATTCACAGATGAATGAATAGATGGATGGATGGATGAGTGGATGGATGGATGGATGGAAGGAAGGATGGATGGATGGACAGATGTATGGATGGAAGGATGAATGGACAGATGGATTCACAGATGAATGAATAGATGGATGGATGGATGGATGGAAGGATGGATGGACGGATGGATGGATGGATGGATGGATGGACGGATGGATTCACAGATGAATGAATAGATGGATGGATGGATGGATGGATGAGTGGATGGATGGATGGATGGATGGATGGATGGATGGATGGATGGAAGGATGGAAGGATGTATGGGTGGATAGATGGATTCACAGATGAATGAATAGATGGATGGATGGATGGATGGATGGATGGATGAGTGGATGGATGGATGGATGGATGGATGGATGGATGAGTGGATGGATGGATGGATGGATGGATGGATGGAAGGATGGATGGGTGGACAGATGGATTCACAGATGAATGAATAGATGGATGGATGGATGGATGGATAGATGGATGAATGGACGGATGGATGGATGGATGGATGGATGGATGGATGGATGGATGGATGGATAGATGGATGAATGGACGGATGGATGGATGGATGGATGGACAGATGGATTCACAGGTGGATGGATGGATGGATGGATTCACAGATAGATGGACGGATGGATGGATGTTGAACGTAAGAACTTAAGACCATGAATGAGGTTTAATGATTTGTTGCCTCCATCATCTGCACACCTACAGGTACATGGGTTGCCGTGAGCAACCGCTGGGTCTGCAACCCTGGAGGTCGGCTTCAGCGGAACCAAAGGTGAACGGGCTGGAGAACAGCCTCAGTGACCGGAGTCCGGATGAGCCCAAATCAGAACCCCTGCCCGAGATTCCCTCACTCCTTCCGTCTGAGAACGGGCTGAAGAAAAGCAAACTGTACAGACAGCAGAGCCTGGTGATTCTCTCAGGTAGGAAACACACACACACACACACACACACACACACACATCAGGATTTTGATGACCTGTCATTATTGTCGTCCTGCAGAGCCGGAGAAGGATAACGACTCGCCGATCTCCACAGTGAAGACTCAGGAGATTCTTCAGGGCAACGTCGTCCGGGAGAGCGCAGAGGGTCACGGCACCATCGAGTAAGTATCGACCCGCCCCATCCTCAGTGACCTGCTGTCAGCAGCTCTGCCACAGTCGGAGCTCGTGGGCGTTTTCCAGCATCAAGCACTAATTGTATCTTTGAACATCATCCAGACAAATCATCTAAAAAGAAACACAGCACGTTTTCTCCTCTGAGAACTCGACACCTTCTGTCTTTGCTGTCTGACTGGATGAGTGTTTTATTGAGTGTGATGTTAACACCGACATCATCAGTCTCCACACCCCGGCGACGTCTGGTCCGCCCGGCGAGGCTTACCAACTCCAAAGGATTTACCTTCACACATCCAACATGTGAAAAAACATTGATTTGGCTCTGCAGGTTCTCACGAGCAACCCGCGGCTGCACTGGTCTGTGTCTGATGTGGAAGCATGCCTGGTGTGCATGCTTCAGGGCGTGGTGCACCGCTCATTGTTGGATGAGACGTGGGTGGAATTTTTTTAATCTATGCTTCAGGTATTACCAGCTGCATGCACGCAGCCAGAAGTGGTGGAAACGTTTGGTGTTGGTCCAAATGAAAGCTTTTAATGTGAAGCTGCAGCGTCCAGACTTCATCAGCAACCAGGAGATAGGTGAGGATAGCGGCTCAACAGACGTATTATTGTATTTAACAGGATTTTAAAGGGAAACAGTTTTTCCAGGAACTTTAGATGATGGGAGCAAATCCAGTGTGTTGTTGGTGAATCTGGCCGTGAGTTCTTCCTGTCGAGGCTAAACGTGTCTTTTGTTTTTGCGTTACCTGGAGCTGCCAAGTGTTTGAGTTCTAGCTGCAGCGTTGATCTGTGGGGTTAGCAGGTTGTCCTCGTGCGTAAGCGGCTTTTCTCCAACCAAAATCGTGTCCGGGGCCCCAAACGATCCAAAGTGCGACTGGATGTTTGTGGACGTGATGGACTAGAGACCTGTCCAAGGTGTGTCCCCTTCTGCCCAAGTCTGCTTGAGACACCATCTGTGGCGCCCCCAAGGGGTGGCCAAGCCCCCCCCCCCCCCCCCCCCCCCCCGAAAACTGACTTCCTGTTTGACTTCCTGTCAGGTCGACCTGAACTGCTGAGCTTGACACGTTCTGGAAGCGTAGAAAATGGACGCCAAGCATTACGTGATGTTACGTAGCATTACGTGTCCAGTGACCCGGAGGGACGGCAACAAACCATTATGATCAAATTTTGTTGATGAAAGCAGAAAGAAGACTTGGGTTGGTTCAGGTATTTTCTGTTTCCGCTCTCTGATTGGACGATAATCTCAGCAAAAAAAGTTTAGACACGGCATTCTCCAAATCAGCAGATTTCTGTAAAAGCTTCTGGTTCAGCGACGATCTGCGTGCTGTTTCTGATGAACCGTTGGAACAATAAATGTTGAGATAGTAATAGTTAAAACATTGAATGCTTTTTAAAAACGTTTCTAATTTTGAGGTGAACGTGTTGGAAGCACTTTGTTTTCCACTGACGAAGAAGGTAGGAGCATGTGGTGCACAGCTAAAGCCCCCCCATGGAAACTTTCTGGGGACGCCCCTGGACACGAGCTCCCTGAGATCCCGCTGTGGAAAAGCGTTTCAGAAAACGAGAGTGCACGTTTTTGACTTTGGCTGTCGCTTCGCCTCACAGGACGGAGAAAATCGACAAGGTGATCAAGCAGTGGGAGGGCTCGTTCTTCAGAGGAAACCCGAAGCTGAGGAAGAAATCTGTGTCGCTGCGTTTCGACCTTCACATGGCTGCAGCGGACGAGGGCTGCAGCCAAACCAAACAGGACAGCCTCCCCGACGTGGAGGTGCGTCTCATCATGAAGAGGTCCCGCAGCATCTCCACCATCACAGACTGAGTTCTGATGCGGGGGTGGAACAGAGGAAGACCACCAACCATCTCGCTTCTTCAGTCCTCGGAACTTTGCATCTACCGACGACTGAAGTCCACCTCGCAGCTCCAGTCTGGTGGGATGAGGGTTATAATTTCAGCTTCTGTGGTGACTTTTGGTTTTAAACCGCCAGACTGAGTCAGGTGAAGATAGAGAAAGTGCAGGTAGGCACAGATGAACTCTACATGCTGCTAGAAGGAAGATTATTGCCTTTTCAGGTGCCATCAGTCACTATGTTTATTATCACTGGATAAAACCAAATACACGTTACTTGTTTTGGTCGATTCTGACAGGATTTACTAAGTAAAATAGCAAATAACGATAAATGTAAAACAAAAATTGCTGCTTAATATTTTAGAAGTTTTCACGGTGGGCGACGGTGGCACAGGAGTTAAGAGCTCGCCCCGTAATTGGAAGGTTGCAGGTTCAAGCCCCGATCAGTCTGTCGCTGTCGTTGTGTCCTTGGGCAAGACACTTAACCCACGCTGCCTGCTGGTGGTGGTCGGAGGGACCGGTGGCGCCTGTGCTCGGCAGCCTCGCCTCTGTCAGTGCGCCCCAGGGCAGCTGTGGCTACATTGTAGCTCATCCCCACCAGTGTGTTAATGGGTGAATGACTGATTTTGTTGTAAAGCGCCTTGGGGGGTTCCAGGACTCTAGAAGACGCTATATCAAATACAGGCCATTTACCATTTGCCATAACTATGATTAGGATTGTTTTATTGGTTATCGCAGAGCTGGATTGCCTTCTTCGCTGTTTGTCTTTAGAGCAGGAATGATAAACTGCCTCTTAGGAATCGTGCTAGCACACAAACTCCACAGGAAATGTCGGGATTCCCTGATTGGGTTTGGCAAAATCTGTTCCACCAGTTCTTCAGTGGACATCTGCAGCTGATTGCCTTTTGGAGTCAAACTAGATAAATATGGCCGCCGCAGCAAACCCAAAATCAACGTCGGATTTTAAAGCAACACTAAAAGAGTTTTTAACAGGTTAAGCTATTGCTCTCAAAGTGGGTTTCAGTGGAAGAAAACAGACCAACTTCAGATTGTGCAGCACTGGAAAAGTCTGTTGCCAACATATGTTGTGTTTTGGTGCTGGTGTGTTAGTCCAGCATGGGATGCTGGTGATTGGATGCTGGACCACCAGCTAAATCAGCACCAAGACAAATGCTAATAAGCAACTGGTCTGTGTTGGTTTTTCCAACTGGGCTTTACTGACCAGAAGCCCACTGGGTTCACTAGGCGGTGCCTTAAACCCACTTTATGGCTGTTAGCTGTTTATTCTACTCATAGCTAATATAACGACTAGCAGTTAGCTTTTTCATTTAACCAGCCGTCAATAAAATGCTCAAGAAGATGGCGTCACGGCGGAGCCTGGAAGAAAAGGTAAGAGAGTTGTGTCTTTGGAGGTGAAACAAAGAGTGAACATCGGTGTGGCCTACGCTAGTTTGAGGGAGCTAAAGGAGGCTACAAAATCACGGACTGATGGTGACCTGGCTTTGTTGCAACTGAAAGTAATAACATTTTTTTGTCCAACAGATTTGGATCTTTTTATTATTTTATATTTTAGTATTAGTTGGCTCATGTTAGCGCTAGCTTGTTGCTAGCTACAGCGGGCTGCTGAAGGGTTGTTTACAACCAGTGTAAATCCACTTTCAACCAGTAGGAGGGAAAAGTGGAAACTCTTAAGTGTTGCTTTAAGATTTGACCAAAACGACCTCATTTCAAAACTCAGAGGATTATTAGTTTGATTTCTTCTTTATTTCACGGAGCTATAGTTTATCTGATGAGAATTAGCACTGTTAGAAATCAGAAACCACTAATGTGAAACTCACCATAAATATTTTTAAACAATGAAGTCAGCTTTAAAATGACAGGACTGTTTTAAAGTTCAGACATCAAAATAAAAATGAACATTATATATTTTAAATGTTTGCACACTTTTAATTTAATAATGTATTTGCAGCAAGAATCTGAAGAGAGTTTGTCTAATTTGAAGTATGTTTATTGTTGATGCAGCTAAATCTCGTGTTTAAATGCTCACTGTGACTTCAGCTTCCCTCCTTTCACCAGAAGGGGGCAGCATTTGTAAACATTTACCACTGCAGTGAGTCTAAACATCTGTTCTGCTGCAGACTGATGGCTTTTATGCTGAAGCTGGCTCCTGAAGTGCCTAGATTATGAGCTTTTATTTGGGTTAGGATTATTTAAATGTATGCAGTCGCGCGCTTCATTTATCGCTTTGCTTCAAGAAGCACGCTCTTCATTTCGGGAGCTCTGTAACATCAGAACTAAGCTTGGAGCTTTTATCTAAAGATTTATCATTTCAAATAAAGCAGAAATGCGTGCAGGTTCTTGTGTTGTCAGTTATACGTTTAGAGGAAAACTAAATTATTACATCGTGCTTTCAGGTCTCCTTTGGATTTTATTATTTTTGTACCCCATCTTCCCCCATCCCCGACACAAAGAGGTCAAGATTTTATGACGTTTATTTAAAAAAACACACAAGCAGGTTTACAGAGAGCATCATAATAAATACATTCAGTCTGGATTCATCCATGAGCGTTACTTTAAGATCTAAAGAAAGTTTTATGCTGTTTTCTGCCAATAAACAGATTCTCTATACATCTTTGGTGTGTTCTTACTGCCTTTAGTTTGTAATTCCATCATCCTCGGAGAGGGGAGAGCGGGCAGCAGAGGGCGACAACGTCCTCTGCTGCCCGCGGATAAACGGAGTAGGAAGTGACGCCACCATCAGCGTCGGCTCTGAGGAAGTTTTGCAGTCGGGAAACGAAACGTTAGCAAGATAAAGAAAATCCTTTCCTGTGTTTTAAAAAGAACCAAAAATGGAATTACAGATTCTCTATATTTGGGTTTTAATAGTTGATTTTCAAGCATTTTTACAAGCTGGATGTGCATGTTTTATATTGCATGATTTGATTTCCTGTTATTTGTTATCTGTTTGTGCTTTTTAAGCTCCTGAGCTGATTATCTTTACCTGTGCAGCAAAAACATGTATTAACTTAAAAAAGTGGAAAAACAAGGTTGTTTTGGTCCAAAGACACTGTAACCTTTCCCCAGCTCATCGTCAGCTGTGATAAACTGAGATTAACCATCGTTTTTGAAGATTTACGTAAACAAAAACGCGTAAGATGGATAAAGTGAGGCTACTGGAGCTTGTGTGTCTATTGTTGGGCTAGAGCAGCCTGCAGAAACGTCACGACACTGCTGCAGGGCTGCAGGGGGTCGTACTCTGCAAACACATGACAGACGTTCTCCATACCAGCCTCCACACCTTTGGCCACAAAACCAAACATCCTGTTGGAGCAATGACACACGAGGTTTCATTGATTTGTACAAAAGCAGCATCAAAAGTTCCTTAACTGATGAAGTTACCTTGCCCCAAAACTGGTACCTCTCCACCACCTGCAGAGGAAAAAAAAAAACCATGAGTGCTTACAGAAACATTTAACACAAACGTGCATCGATCAGCGACCACGTTGCACACTCACAGCCGACCGTCTGGGTCTTTGCCACTGTGGCTGAGCAGATGAGCGGGGTAATGGCGCCTGAAGAAAAGCCTGCAGAGACGAGAGCAGTTTGGGTGAAATGTGGCTCAGAAATCACACCGACAAGATTCTGGTGTGTACAGTGAGTAAAATCTCAGTAGCATGTTGACAGGATGTGTGTTTTCTTACTTCCTGTTGATGTCTGTGAGGGTCACCCCCTTCAGAGACACTTTCATGTTGACTACGGTGGGTGTGAAGGAGGCCGGGGCCTTCTTCAGCGTTGTGGACACTGCTTTCTGCACGGCGCAGGGGCCCGTCAGCATCTCAGTGGGGACAGCGTCCAGGTAGACGAAGTTACACGCTGCAGAAAGATGCAAGATCGTGTTGGAGAGATTAGAAATTAGATTATTAGATTAGTAGATTCCCAAATATTTTGGGAATGAAAGAAGGAATGTACTTATTTGAATGAAACTGGGTTTTAAACTCTTCGATGCTCATGTTGGACCAATCAGCAAGCTCATCTTCCTGCATCCTAAACAGGAACTCATCCTCGTTGGGATGTCAAACCAACTACAGCAGAGTCATTTGCAGACTTCACATTTTAATCCTCAGGAGTTATGGCATAACAATCATATTTGAATTAAGCGGGACTAAGTATGCGTCCTTGTGGAGTGCCAGAGTTGACGCTCATGAGCACATCTCTCACCTGTTTTGTTTTTGTCCTCTGATACCGCCTTTTCGCTCCTTTTTTCTGCGGCACTCAGATCTGGACAAGCAAACACAAGCTGATATGTTTTTGTTCTACAGAAATCTTGAATGTGCTGAAGCGTGAACATGGAGTCACCTTGGTGGTGGAGCAGTAACTTGCAGGGCAACGCGTAGGCAGAAATGGTGTGCTGGTAAACCAAAGCAGAGAGACTTCCTGCAGAAACAAACAGAAGAAATCTAGACCTGTGAGGGAAAGCCTTGGAAATGTAACCCATCACTCTCTGGAAGCGCAGACAAGTCCGTTCCTGTGTCCTTTCCCTAGAAGCCTCATCTGTTTAGACATAAATCCCAGTGAATGATTTGGTGGTTGGCCAACACGCAGTCAGGGCTCGCTTCGGATAACAATTCCCACCCGAATCCTGCCAACGTGACTCCGATTTTCTTTCATCATCTTGATTATTAAAGGAGGTTTTTACGACTCACCGAAGTAGGGTTCCTGAGAAGAGCCTCCGATGCGGACGCCTTTGGCTGATGATTCAATAAGGAAATGTCTGATGCGATCTGAGCTGCTCTCTCCTGTTTAGATGAAAGGAAGAAAAAAGTCATAAAGTGCCACAATAAAGAAAAACCTCCAGACCTTAAAAGGTCAAAAACATCACATTTCTTCAGATATGAAATCAGAAGAGCTCTTCTGTTAAAGCCGACGATTAGAAAGTTCAAATAAATCTGAATTCTTTATTAAGTTGTTCTCAGGCGTCTGGATTGGTTTGCTGCTGAATAAAATTCATCACAAACTTCCTCTAGAGCCTCGAAAATACCAAATATTTAGACAATAAAACACCGTAGCCTCAAACTTCAGCTTAAATAAACAAATTTTGGAAACATTATTCCAGTCGACCATTTCTCAAATGGATCTTTAGGGTTGTGTTTCTTGTTGCTGGGCAGCCTGATTGTTCACGTTCACTGTGAAGGTGGACCTGTGAGGTGCTGCTGGGGTTAGCCTAAACTTAACCCTAACCCAGTGCTTAATTTGAGCCGGAACAAGATCCGGGAACTATCTTATTTTGAAAGGACCGTTCCGGCAACTGTCTGCTAGGATCCGGCAACTCACGCGACAAACTTGTGCTGTACGCAGGATTCGAATTACAGGTGAGCTTGGGAGCTCCTGGAAGCCCTCAGCACACCCAGGGGGAGCCTGAAAACGCTCCTGGTTCTGCTTATATTACATTATTCATGGGGACTCCCTGGGATTATTTAGAGCTGAGAGGCGCAGAGCTCTGATTGTTGACGCGCTCCAGACAGATGCGTCCTGAGCACGGCCACGGTAACATTATCAAAGTGCCGCCAATCCAAAAACAAATTTAACACGCGATCGTTCATGTCGGCTCATTTCCTTTTATGTTTTCTGTCTTTTATTTGTGCCTGATGCGTTTCGCTGCTGTGGAGCGGGGCGCATCACCTGTTTTGTCCTCCGGTGACGCACCTCAGCGGTGCGGCCGGCGAGCACTCCGCTGCTTTTGCGGTCAGTGGATCTTTTAGAACTGCAGTTCAAAGGTAACTCATGAGGTGAATATATATGAACCCAGGTAGCAGTTTCTCTTTAGGATTGAGAGGAGATGCAGGAAGATAACAAACAGGCAGGACAGAAAAATAGTCAAATAAAAACAAGTTAGTTTTTGTACCTGCTGGTTGCAACAAACAGACACCATTGAAGGTCATCAGAAGTGAGGAACAGAAAATGAAATAATTATTTTAATGTTTAGAGCAGCAGGAACTCCGAGAGGCTGCAGGCACATCAGTGAGTTTGCGGCCGCTGCGCAGGGGGAGGGGGGAGAGGGCTGAAGCAGGGGGTGGGGGTGGGTGGGGGCGGGGGGTGGGGGGTGGCTGAAGCAGGGGGAGGGGGAGAGGGCTGAAGCAGGGGGTGGGGGGGGGGCTGAAGCAGGGGGAGGTGGGAGAGGGCTGAAGCAGGGGGTGGGGGTGGGGGGTGGGGGGTGGCTGAAGCAGGGGGGGGGGGGGGAGAGGGCTGAAGCGGAGCAGTAAAGATGCAGAAACTACCGTTGTTAAAAGAGATGCTTAACTTAGAAAATGTGGGCGCAATTTTAATTACTTGTCAGGAACTTAACAATTACTAATTACTAAGGAACCAACGTCACAGGGACCCCCACCTGGGGGACCCTGTGACGTTAGTTCCTTAACAGGCCCAAAACAACCCTCACACTAGAGAAGAAATCGTAATAATTCCCATCAAATCCGCAAACCCAGCACTACAAGGCTATCTAAACTATTTTTACCATTAAATACCATTTTTACCAATTTTCGAGGAATAGGCTTCAAAATAGGCCTGGGGCTTAAGGGGAGACCTTCATGCATCTTCATGGAGATACTGATTACATTTCCCAGCAGGACTTGGCATCTGGCCACACTGCCAAAAGTACCACTTACTGGGCTTGACTTGAATTCAATTCTGGGCTTCAACACCTGATTTCAATCAGCAGGTGATTAACAGGCTTCTGCAGAGCCCGATGAGCTGCTGAACAGGTGATTGGAGCAGAGAAACCACTAAAACGTGCTGGATACCGGAATTGACTTGCACTGATCTATGGATTATTGTCAGAAACACCAGACCCACCGATGCAGATGACCTGCAGTCTGCTATCAGCAACCTGAGCTTCCTTCACACCTGAGCAGGGTCACGCTGATCCCCTCCATGCCACCAGCTTTCTGGGACACCCATGTGACTCCGACCTCACCAGTCAAACTGAATTTGGTCCTAAATGTAAAAGAACTGTTACCAGAACTCCAGCTCTGAGTCGTCCCTTTGGGACTGGCACCATCCCAAAAGGGGCAACCACGGTATGGACCCGCGCACGGCCCTCACAAGTCACATCTCTTTGTAAAGATGACCAACCAGACTCTGGAGATGCATTCTAAAACTACGAGTTAAAAGTCTGGTTGTAGGCAGGTAAACCCCACTGGTGTGGCAGAGTTGAAAACATATGAAGTTCATTAAATCGTTTCATGAGTCTGATTCATTTTTCTTTCCTCTGTTTGATAGTTTATAGTTTTCCTTTGTGTTTCCACACTGTGATGGAAAATCCCGTTTGTTTTTTCTGCAGTCCGGCCGCAGACGGCTCGACGTCGTAAGGTTTCCCACAACACAGCAGCTGGTCGTGTTTGTGTTGCTTGTCTGTTGCCTTTATCAGACCAAACATGTCGGAAGCTGAACTGGTGATGTGACTCTGCCTTCCACTCAGCTGACACACTTATGTCACTGTTTTAAACTGTAAGATTAAAGCCTTAGATTTCAATAAAAGTCACATTTTTCTCAATTTGATGAAATTATTAAAGGAAATCTGTTCAGGGAAAAAGCTGTCAATACCACTCCTAGCCAGCAGGGGGCAATCATGGTGACATTAGCAAAAGTCAAAATAATCTGAGAAGCTTCTCTGATTGGACGTGAACACATTTGTGATTACCTTTAATGGTTTGAGTTTGCAAGGACCCCCGCGCCTTACACGGCTGAGAATCTACACCACATGGTAACCCAGACCTCAAGGCCCTCGGTCCTGCAAGTTCTAGATGTTTCTCTGCTTCAACACACCTCGTTTCACTTAATGCTGATTAAAGGGCTTCAGAAGACACCCTGAAAAGCTAATTTACCTTAAAATGAGGAGTTCTGGAACAGAAAAGCAACATAAAACATGCAGGCAAGTGCACTGCGGACCCCCGACATGGAATGAAGGCTTCCTTGTTGTAGATGATGACGATTTAATACAAAGCAGCAACAGACATGCTCAATGCATGAAAAGACTCGCTTTGTTTGGACATTTAAGATGCTGATTCGAAAAACATTAAAGGTGCATGAAGCAAGAACGACGCCCTGTGGTCAAATGTGGGTACTGCAGTCCATGTATGAAACAAACGAGTCCGCTCTGAGCAACGGTTTCCCATCACGGATCAGCGCCAGAAGGTTCTAGATGATGAATCATACACAATTAGTTGATAAGTAGTAAGCCAGCTATTCTTTAAATTCACTGTTAGCATTGTTAGCTCTATGCTAACCTAGAAGTGGACAATCTAAGGAAAATTTACTGATACCGCAATTTATGTCTGTTACCGACGTCTTTTTGCCCCCGTCAATAAATGAGGTAGTAGAAAAAATGAAAAGTGCAGGTAGCTTTTGTCCATTTATCTTTATCAAGGTGAAATACAAATACCGCCACACATTTGGCAACCTCTTGTGATCAAATATGATTGGCTCTTGTAAACAAAGGCTACGTCCCTCTTTGGCCTTTTTATGGAGAAAAACCAAGCCCTCACAATGCGGGACAGAAATTGAGGCTAATACGGAAGTGAAATAAAGTGCAGTTCCACCCTCATCCACTAGGGGCTGGTGTCAGAAGCGAGCAAATCCTCATTGACTCCCATGTTAAAAATACCAATTTCACAGCAGAAATAAACATGTTTACAGTCTGGTACCAAAACATGTTTTTTGTTTAAATGATCTAGTTTACACTCATGACAACTCTGAGGGGGGTGAATTTTTGTCTCACTCTTCTGTTTAAGTGTATTAAAAGCCTAAAATTATGTATAATTAATGAGCATCAGACCCACGTGACCACAGTCCGGCCGCAGACGGCTCGACGTTACCTCAGCCTGAAAACTGTTCGGTCATTTTCATTCTCTCAACTTAGACCATTAGTTGTAGCGTTTGTGCGTTCTTTTTTGGATATTTTTTGTGCTATTGTTGGACAAAATGACTTGCTGTGGCATTAATTGCACTAATAGAGCATCCAAGGAGTCTCCACTTCATTTTTTTCGGTAAGTAAAATTATATTTATGTATTTTAGGTCACTGCCGAGCTGAGCTTAGATTTTAACATGTACTGTTTAACCATGAAATTTAAATGTAATAGGATAAAACCCAGTGCATTTAACATAATTCTGCACTCTAGAAAATGGGTTGAAATATAACATGTTGGTGGAGCTGGGTTCCGACTATCGGTACAGTCCCCTCCCCTCAGCGGCAGGTCGGCGAATCTCTGACTGCAGCGGCGCTTGTCTGCTGTGCTGCTGTCGGCTTGTGGACCGCTGGGAGACCTCTGTGTTCCACCCGGTTTTACCCAGCCGTCAGCCCGGCGCATCTCTGACTCAGAAGCTCCGGTTGTAGCTAGGTAGCTACCTCCGTTAGCTTAGCTCACACCTCCGCGTTAGCTTTGGGTTAGCTTGTAGCTACATCACTTCAGTTCGACGGGTGTCGTCATTTGATCAACCCTTAGCTCCACCTCTTTTGCCTTTTATGGAATTGTCTGGGCTTGACGGAACCTGTGACACGGTCAAAATGGCGGTGGTGGCCACCTCCCATTTTAGCACAAAAACCTATAGTTGGCGCCTATGGACACGAATCGTCCAGTATATATGTCGATGGTACCTGGATAGGCAGCAGCAGTGAAGGAGGTGGGGGATCCATCCACCTTCATGGCCAGACCAAAGCTTCCTCTGTAGGTGGTGCTCTCCCTCACCACAAACGTGCCGGCATCCTTGTCCTTTAGTAGAGCATCAGCTGGGATAAAATAAAACCAAAGGTTTGTGTTCCGTCCAAGACAAAAACCTTTTATGTCATCTAAAGGACGACATCCTCACCTTCGGCTCTGCTGATGTGTGGACGGAACCAGAACTTGGAGGTGTCCATGACAAACTTCATCATCGGCTGGCTTCCACTGAAGAAGACCTGGTTTTGTTTTGATGGGCTTGCAGGAACCTTCTGGATCGGGTCTGGTCTGGGACTGTGCACGTCTGACTCCGGCGCTCCGTTGATGAGCAGGAGGGGAATGTCGGTCTGGGAGCCAGACAGCGAAACCGGACAGCTCTGAACTCCTTCGCGGTGGAGTTCAGGTAGATGTCCTTGTTTTGTCAACGTGGGCCTGCAGTCCCACGTCCCAGTTCTGGATCCATCACTGAAGGAACCGGGCGTGAGTGGAACCGAGCAGTCTAGAAAATCGGTGTCTTCTCCGGTCAAGGACAGGTTGCTGCGAGGAAAAAGAATCGTCACAAATCTAATTTCTCTGACCTTTTATGGAGTTTCTTTTCTCTTGAAACAACATATTTTACTTGCTCATCACCTGTAAACACCTGGGGGACAAACATACACTGTAGTGTAAAATGTAAAGTGCTTTGGGGTCCTCTGACTCAGAAACACAAGTGCAGGACCCACATCTATGCTGCCACCGGTGCTAGAAACCTACTTGTGGTCTTTTGAAGGTTTTCAAAGATCTCGAATAATTAAGGGACTTTAAAAGTCTTTAAACTATAATGAAGTTGATCACCTAACAGCATTTAAAGAACAAATGGTGTTCTGGTCAGTTAATCACCACCATAAGACGATGTAAAATCTTTAAAATTCACCTTGAAGGTGTTTGAGACTTGCTAGGAGACGTGTTGATTTCTACCATCGTGTTCCCACCCAGTCTCACCTGCCCATGACGTAGCTGGTATCTGAGCACGTCGATGTGGAGAGGAGCGAGGTGGCGCTACCTCTGTTGGAGCGTGATGTCCGCAGAGACCCATGAGGAAAGTCTTGTTTGGATGAAGGATTTCGTCTGGGGGCGCTTCCACACGGCAGCGGAGGCAGGGAGGACGTCGGGGAGCTGGAGGACGCCGCAGCACCCTGGGGGCTGCAGCCCAGGCCTCTCTGTGTTGGGATGGGGATGCTGGGTGATGCAGATGTAGGTTTTGATGTGGGAGAACATCCTCTGGGAACCAGCACACAGTGGGAGACTTGATCTGAGTCTGCAGACGGAGAGGAAACACGTTCAAGAAGGAGGGGAAATGGATCAGGTTTTAAATCCCTGCATGTCCCAGAACATGCCTGACTTCAGTTTGCCGTTTGCAGAATGGGCTTGGTCTTCTTATGTAAGGTCACCTGTGAGTGCTGTTCATTCTTCTCCTGCAGGAACATGCAGAGCAGATCATGATTTGCACGTTTGCAGCTTTCATGTTCTGCTGTCGCAACAACATCTAACCGTGGAAGTCTCGGCTTGTTCCAGAGCTCCTAAAAATGTGTTTGCCTCGTTATGTCGGAGGGGGCGGAGCAAATGTGTGCCTTTAGGGGAACAACCTCAGCCTGAGGTCAGGGTTTGAGTCAGATGGGTGGATTTTGCAACCAAAGTAACATCATTTAATGACTAATGGCTGCACGAACCTGGCACATCAGCTGAATGTGAGAAGGTTCGCGTCCTCCCAGAAACAAAAGATGGCTTTTCATTAATGTAACACGTGCATTTTCTCTTCTGTCGTCTGCCACCCAAGGAACAAACTTTCTGAATGACTTCTCATAAAATTGTAGAATTTCCACCAAACTTTCCCTCCTCTTCTGCACTTGCCAGTTTCACGAAGACGAGTCGTGCTTCTGAATACAGCAGGTGTCAGGAAATTGTACTTTCAGCTTCTTTGCCTCTTGTACACGCTTCACACTTTTGTGAAAACAGCGGGCTCTGAGTAGCGAGGCGAGAGTTTCTGACAGGGTGTGGTGTCATTCTGGGCAGGAGAGCAGCAAAAACACCATGATTACAATTATTAGGTGCACAGAACATCTTCGAGGCCGCAGGCGATCTGCTTTCTCTGTTTTCTGAGGCTGACTGAGTTCATTTCGCCCTGTTGCTGTTGGGAGGTCAAGCTTTGCTGCTTAAGAGGCATTTATTTAAAATGACTAAAGGAAAACCCACCAAAGGCATTTAAAATCTCATTTAATTAATAACAATTTTTCCAAAATACAACAACAATCCATTAAAAGGGTCGTAAATATGTTTTAATGTATTATTATTTAGTATTAATATTCATTATTATTATTATTATTATTATCTTTAGCTACTGAAATATTTTGAACACAAGGTTTACTCTAAAATCACAAAACTCTTAGAAAATAATATTTGAACATTTGCAGGTTAAACGTGTTTTATACAGAAACCTCTTGACACCAGAGGTAGTCCATCCATCCATCCATCCATCCATCCATCCATCCATCCATCCATCCATCCATCCATTTTCACCCGCTCATCCGGAGTCGGGTCGCAGGGGCAGTAGCCTAAGGCGAGAGGCCCAGACTTCCCTCTCCCCAGCCACTTGGGTCAGCTCCTCTGGGGGAATCCCAAGGCGTTCCCTGGCCAGGTGAGAGACATAGTCCCTCCACCGTGTCCTGGGTCTACCTTTAGGTCTCCTCCCGGTTGGACGTGCCCGGAAAACCTCACCAGGGAGGCATCCAGGAGGCATCCTGACCAGATGCCCGAGCCACCTCACCTGGCTCCTCTCCATGTGGAGGAGCAACGAGTCTACTCCGAGCCCCTCCCGGATGACCGAGCTTCTCACCCTATCTCTAAAGGGAGAGTCCAGTCACTCTGCGGAGAAAACTCATTTCGGCCGCTTGTATCCGTGATCTCGTTCTTTCGGTCACTACCCAAAGCTCATGACCATGGGTGAGGGTAGGAATGTAGATCGACCGGTAAATCGAGAGCTTCGCCTTCTGACTCAGCTCTCTCTTCACCACGACAGACCGGTACAACGCCCGCATCACTGCAGATGCAGCACCAATCCACCTATCGATCCCACTCTCCAGTTTTCCCTCACTCGTGAACAAGACCCCGAGATCCTTAAACTCCTCCACTTGGGGCAGGACCTCATCCCTGACCCAGAGAAGGCATTCTACCCTTTTCTGAATCAAGACCATGGTCTCAGATCTAGAGGAGCTGATTCTCATCCCAGCTGCTTCACACTCGGCTGCGAACCGCTCAAGTGAAAGCTGAAGATCATGTTCTGATGAAGCCAACAGGACCACATCATCTGCAAAAAGCAGAGACCTGATCCTCAGGCCACCAGAACGGATGCCCTCCACACTTTGGCTGCGCCTAGAAATCCTGTCCATAAAGGTTATGAACAGAATCGGTGACAAAGGGCAGCCTTGGCGGAGTCCAACTCTCACTGGGAACGAGCCTGACTTACTGCCGGCAATGTGGACCATGCTCTGGCACCGGCCATACAGGGACCTAACAGCCCGTAACAGAGGGCCTGGTACCCCATACTCCCAGAGTACTCCCCACAGAAAATTACTAATATGTAACCACATTTGCAGGATTTGAGAGGTTTAATTCTGAATAAGACCAAAAAAAGGTGCTTTGTCAGAATTATCTTCACCATTTTGTAAATATTTTGTGTGTTAGTTCTTAACTTTTTGCTTTAGTTTATGTAAATTTACAAAGATGGATCCCTGTGCTTTCATGGAGACGTCTGTCACTGATCCTCATCAAAACACTGGAGCATCAGGATTAGTTCCTTCATCAGAAACCTGCCAAACACAGTTCTAAACAGCTCTATTGCCCCCTAGTGGACAATCTACAGGTGGCAAGAGCCAATTTTATTTCTTTATGTTGTTATAGAATTATCAGCATTCTATTAAATAGGACCGATTATTAAACAGCTGTTAAATTCAATATTAGCCATAAAAATTAGTCCATTGTGAGTCTCTTTGGATAAAAGCCTCTGCTAAACGCATAAACTTAGTCAAGATTTTAAAACTAGATTACTAGTACTTAATACTAGTATACTATATTATTACTAATTTTTTTATGTCACGACTTTAAAGCAGGGGTGTCCAAATTGTTCAATACAAGAGCCAAAAATGTCAAGTTGATTGTTCTGGCAGGGATTTTTTTTAATTGAACAAAAATGAAAAAAATTATTTCAAGGCGATTTTGTTTTGTAATCCTCAAATTAGGTAAAATTTTTTGCATATTAGCAGAAATCTGCATATGAAATTGTCGGAAAGTTTCCATCTAGATAAACAACCTGCGGAGACAGATTTCATTTCCCCAGAAATGCAACGGAGCAGCACTAAATCACCCCAAGGACTCTGGTGGCTCCCGGGCCACCTTTTGGATTTGCCTGAAAGTTTATTCTTTAAAACAAAAACTAAACGAATGGATTGACTAAATAAACACGCTTGGAAACCTGACTCTGACCCTTGAGGAACTCCATAAAAAGGTTCACTCGATTTGAAACCATATTTCTTAAAGTAAAAAACAAATCTCTTGAAGTTTTGACTCTACCTGTTGGAGGACTGGTCCAGCAAGGGCTTTTAGGAACTGGAATCGGTTCAAAACTGGGATCCAGGTCCATCATGATCTGGTTGAGATTTTCCAGGGTCATGTCAAGATCCGGGTCGTCCAGGTGACAGCCGGGTTTCTGAGGGTCTGCGTTGGGCACCGAGTCCAGACAGACCGTCTGGCCCACTCTCAGGACGTGGCTGGATATGACGTGGGACATGCCCCCGGCTGCAGGCATCATGTTTGGGACGTCAGCGTTCTCCGGGCTGCTGGACACACAGAAGAGAGATCATTTTCCCTGGGGTTTGCTCTGTTTGCGCTCCACCCTCACGCTGGAGCTCGCCGTGCTGCACTCCCACTCTGTAAGTCAGACACACAACAGAAAGGTCTTCCCAGGTGTGTGTGTGTGCGTTAGAGACCATGTGTTTGTCTTTTGTGTGAGACTCAACATTAATTTTCTCATCGCCTTCGCCCCAAAATTCATCCACGTTTTGAATGTTTTTACCTTTTTAAATGTGAACTTCACTGAAAACCAATTTTTTATGATTATTTCTGATTATAACGGGTCACTCTGAGTTTTTCACGCAGGCTGAACATGAAAATAGGATTTTCTAATCCTAGAGTCTCACCGTCTGTTTTCCATCAGAAACTAATGCAGGAGATGGGTGTAGGAGACTATTTTCATGTTCAGCCTGCATGAAACACTCAGTGACTGATTATCAGAAATAATTAAATTGGGTTTTCCATGTTCCACACCTTTAACATTCAATACCAATCTTGCCTAGCGACGGGGAAGGTTGTTGTTGGTTTAGCGTCCAGGAAACAGCCGAGAATGTCTCGGCTAGCAGGAGCTCACCTTTGGCATTAGCAGCTCCACCACAGAGCAGAACTCCTCCAGGCTTGTGTTATTTATGGAGATAAAACATCAACATTGGAGAGCAAACAGAGTCAGAGGTAGAGTCATGTTGCTGTTAGCCAATCAGAGGAGAGATGTCCACATATCAGGAAATAAGACTCCACATCCTGTCGTCTGAAGCTACTTTCTTGCTATGCAGACGACACCCAGCTCTATCTGTCATTTCCACCTGACGACCACACCGTCTCTGCACGAATATCAAACTGTCTCTCTGACATATCAAAATGGATGAAATCCCACCATCTCCAACTCAACCTCTCTAAAATTGAACTACTTGTCATCCCAGCAAAACCATTCATACAGCACAATATCTCAATCCAAAATTACTTCCTGTCTCTGGCTCCTTCAAAGGCAGTTCGAAATCTGGGTGTTGTGATCGATGAACACCTGACCTTTGAAGATCATGTTGCCTCTGTTGCTCGTTCATGCCGCTTTGAGCTGTATAACATACGAAAGATCAGACCATACCTAACACAACATGCCACCCAGCTCCTGGTGCAATCTACTGTCATCTCCCGCCTCGATTACTGCAACGCCCTTCTAACTGGTCTTCCAGGCTGTACTGTGAGACCTCTTCAAATGGTCCAGAACTCAGCGGTGCATCTGGTCTTCAATCAGCCAAAAAGAGCACACGTCACCCCTCTGTTCATTGAGCTCCACTGGCTACCGCTAGCAGCACGCATCAAATTCAAATTGCTAACACTAGCATACAAAGTCAGAGATGGTATGGCTCCCATCTAACTGAATCCTCTTGCAAAGGCTTACGTCTCGGCCCGGCCGCTCCGGTCATCACAGGATCGTCGGCTAGCAGTGCCTACACCACGCTCAGGACAATCCAGACTCTTCTCATGCATCGTTCCACAAATGTGGAATGACCTTCCAAGCACTACCAGAACTGCAGCTTCCTTTTCAATTTTCAAGAAACTCCTGAAGACCCTGCTCTTCAGAGAGCATCTTCTTAACTAGCACCCTCCCTGCACCTGTACCCCCTCTCTACCGTCCACTCCTTGTTCCCTCCTTTCCATGATTGATGTCTAGTTGTTGTTGTTGTTGTTAGCCTCAAGGGCAACATGCCGATTATCACTTGTAAGTCGCTTTGGACAAAAGCGTCTGCTAAATACATAAACATAAACTTTCTCCTCCAGTTGACTTTTACGTCCTCAAGCAGGTGTACCGGAGCTTTTTTTCCTCAGAGAACGACTTACGAGGCATTATTTTCTACCAGAGGCCACCGCAGATGTATTAAAATAGGAGTGAAGTTGATCTTTTAAAATCTACTTTCCTAAGACTGTAAAACGTGTTGATGATACAAGTTGATTCTGCATGTGGTTCAAGTGCAGAAAAACCGATTATTCTCACTTTTAGTTTCGTCAAATGTAGAAAAAACCTGAAGAAACGACAAAATAACAAACTAAACTTTGCAGATTTTACCAGGCGATCCTGAATTGTGTCCCTCGGATTAAACTCATCAGTGGCTTCCTGCTGAAACGACTCAAATCCCAAATCAACCTGCAGGTTTACTCCTGTTTTTTTTTTTAAAGGAAGCTGAATGAAAAGGACCTTTCTGCATTTAAAACTTCTTATTTTGTGAATTTCAATGAATGAATCTGACTAAGTTACCTTTTAAAGAAAGCGCTGCACTCCCATCCTCTTCTCTTCTGATCATTTTCATAACTATTTATGCATTTTTCACATTTTGTCAGTGAATTTCCTTTCCCATTTCACCACGTGAGACTCCTAGGTTTCACTTCATGTTTCACAAAGTTGATGTAAAATGGAAACATGACGAACAGATGAATCTGCAGCAGCCTCACACACACCCACACACACACTAGTGGTGTTTTCGGACTGAATCAGATGATTAAAAACTCTTTTGTTAAGAAAAATGATGGACGGATGCAAAAATAACACTTTTTGCATCATTGTGGATTATAAATCCTAATCTGATGCACGTTGGTTAAACTCAGTTGTCATGCCTTGGGAGCGTTTAGACCTCCGGTCTACATTTTGTCCACACTGATGTATTTTTAGCCCTGAAGTTGTTTGCAGCGACTCCACCACTCCTTGGAGAGCCGTGACTCGCTGCATGAATGCTGAAATCGGCATTTACATGACGGGGAAGATCCACTCATACTCAGTCTGCTCACCGTCAAATCAGACAGGGAGTGGAGCTCGGTGAGTCACTCAGGTGACTTGCTGTTACCATGGTTACTGCAATGTTTTTCCCCCTGCAAAGCTTAAACACAGACTTAGAAGGTGAACAACACCTTTAATATCTTGGTTATTTTCTACTTCCCACTTTCAGATGCAGCTGGTTCACTTCCAATGGAGCCAGATGTGACCTTTAATCCAGGCACTCAGTTTATTATAAATTCCTATTTTCTGTAACATAAGTAGAAATATATTGATATTTACGTCATTGATGCACTTTCTTCTCATTTTATTCTCTAATAATGTTGAAACGCTGTTTTTGCATGTCTTTAAATTATGTCTTGACTGCATATCTTTAATTTCACCTAAGAAAGTCCAAAAAGACCTTGGTGCTTTAACCTTTTCCGACCTGCTGTTAAACGAACACCTAATGCGTGAAATCCTTTAAGGCAGCTAAATGAGCTCCGAGTGAAGTTCTCTCACCTTAAACGCCTCTGCTCAGGTTTCTGCTCTTCCTCTCTTCTTCAGGTCTCACCTCTCATGTTGCACGCTTTTATTTAAAACATCCCAACCCTTTTCCCTGTGAGCCAATCAGAAATGAGGATCATAAACCTCCACCTTTCCAGCTAATTATGTCACATTGCTGATTCTTCGTGGATGACTGGAGGGCTGTTCTTTTTTCCTACAAAGAAAAGAGGCGTCTCATCCCACCTCTTAACAACAGTTCCCATTATAAACAAAGATTAACAAGAGAGAACAGTAAGCCTGTAAAAAAATCTTCTGAGGTTTTTGGTTCGTTAAATCAAAACAGAAGTTGTGCTGCAGATAGCTTGTCAGTGGGTGGAGAGTCCATGGATGAGGACCTTAGGTTGGGCTTGAAGAGGTTCTGGCAGACAGGCTGATGATGATTCATGCAAAGGAAAGGAGGTCCCTGGATGTGTTGGGTTTGGGTGTGGAGCTCTGACAGGACACCTCTGAGGAGGTCTTCACCCTTGCAGAGTTGCTGAAGATTTAAAGAAGGTGCTGCTGGAATCACAAACATGAATATGGAGAGGTGCACGGGCGACGGTGGCACAGGAGTTAAGAGCTCGCCCCGTAATCGGAAGGTTGCAGGTTCGAGCCCCGCTCAGTCTGTTGCTGTCGTTGTGTCCTTGGGCAAGACACTTAACCCACGTTGCCTGCTGGTGGTGGTCGGAGGGACCGGTGGCGCCAGCGCTCGGCAGCCTCGCCTCTGTCAGTGCGCCCCAGGGCAGCTGTGGCTACATCGTAGCTCATCACCACCAGTGTATGAATGTGTGTGTGAATGGGTGAATGACTGATTGTCTTGTATAGCGCCTTGAGGGGTTCCAGGACTCTAGAAGGCGATATATCAAATACAGGCCATTTACCATGTAATTTGAAAGGGGGGGGGGGGGGGGGCATGTCCCCCCCCCCCCCCCCCCGCACTTTTTCTTAAGTAATTTTTGTCTCCTGCACTTTTTATCATCTAGAACCAATACTACGCTGTGTTAAATAGACTGGCTGAGCACTAGGACCAAGAGTTCAGCTAGAATCTGATGTAAATGAGCTCTGTTGATCAGATATCCAAAAAATAAGTGTGAAATGGTGACAATGAGTAGGAGTGAAAATTACTAACAAGGTGAAAAACAACGTTGAATTGAAAGTATTAGTATTTTGTTTTCCTGCCATGTGTACTTCACAGTTCTGCATTCCTGACATTGCATTAAAGAGCCTCTAGGCCAGGGGTGGGCAATAATTTTTTCCATGGGGCCGCATGAGAAACAGAAAATATTGTGAAGGGCCAGGCCAAAAGGCTGAAGTCAATTATGCATAATATTAATGGTATTTCTTTATAAAAAGCAGTAAATACCATTGTTTTTTCAAGCTGTAAGAGTAGACTATATGTTATAAATGAGCAAAAAGGAAAAAGTGAGGCTGGCTTACAAAAATGTGATCTATTCAAATTTCCCAAGGCAATGGTAAACAAAGTGAGCGCATTTGGTTTTTGTTAAACATTTGTGACTTATATTAGTTAACAGTTTCAGTCACATTCACTCCAAAACACATTTTGAGTTTCAAATATTGTTGGAAAGAGGTTCTTAGCATTCTACAGACACACAGTATTGTCTGTAAAATAAAATCATTGAACTGTGATCTTGAGAAAGAGGTTTTAAAAAAAAAAGTGTCCCAGTTCACTGCTAGTTGCCTACATTTTTGGTCCAAACACCTTATTTTGTGTTTTTAAGCGATTGTTTTCTTATTCAGTGAGAGAAATCTAGTCTCTGCTGGGCTTTAATGAGTGCATCAAAGTCAGGTTGAATGTCTGAGGTGGAGATGCGAAGCACAGCTGACAAATGATCATCAGTGAGAGAGGATCTATACCTGGGTTTTGTTAATGGTTGTTCACAAATGTAGGTAGAGCCGAAGAGAACCAACATCTTCTGAGCATGTCTCCTCAGGTTTGGAAAGTTCTCCTCCTTAAGAGAAGAGTAGAAATCCAGCAGAGATCCTGACTTAAAGTGCTCTGCCAGTACTGCATCAGACTGCAGGTCAATGAGTTCCAGCTGCACATCACTGGGTGCATTATCCACACTGCAGGTAAAGGGAGAGGAAATCATGTGCATTTCATCCTCGATTGATCTGAGATCTTCAAAACGCCTTGAAAACTCACCATGTAATGCTCCTAACATGGATGAGTACCTGCTGAGGTGATCAGCTGATGGTGTGACTTCGTTCAGGGTTGGCATGTGAGTGAGTGTTGCTCGCCAGTTGACTTGAAAGAAACTGCAGCTTTCTCATGAAGGCCTTCACGAGGCTGTGCATTTCATGAACAAAAAGGCCCTTGCCTTGCAGTCTGGTGTTCAGTTCATTCATCAGTGCAGTCACATCAACAGCAAATGCAAAATCTGCCATCCAATCCTCATCTGAGAGCTCTGGAATGTCTTTGCCTTTCCTCTCGCAAAACTCTCGAATCTCTGCTTTCAAGTCCCAAACCCTCTTCAGCACTTTCCCCAGGCTGAGCCATCTGACAGCTGTGTGGAATCCTCCAAAAGAGCCACAAACTGTCTGTGATTCATCGCCCACGCCCTGATGAAGTTTATTATTTTTAGTAACAACATCAGTAACATGGTTGATTTTTAGCACTGACTTGCACAACACATGTTGGTGTATAATTCAATGCTAAAACACCCATTTTTGATCTGCATCGATTTCTGTCACTTTAGCTTGCATGCGTTTCAAAAGTCCGACATTTTTCCCTGTAAGATTTGGACAACCGTCTGTTGTGACACCTGACAGTCTCTCCCATTTCAATCCCAGAGTGTCCATGCACGCACGCATTTACCTCTGTAAAAAGATCACTCCCTGTCGTTGTCCCTTTCATCGACCGCATTGCTGCCAGCTCCTCTGTGAGCTCCGTTATCCCCCGGACAAATACGAGCAGCTGGGCTGTGTCGCGGACATCACAGCTCTAGTCTAAGGCCAATGAGAAAAAGTCAAAACTTGCCTCTTCACGTTGCAGCTGAAGCTCCAGGTTCCCCGCAATGTCCTCGATCCTCCTGGTCACGTTTCGCCCGGACAGCGGGATTTGCTCAAATCCGCCTTTTTTTCAGGGCATATTAGTGCGGCAGAGTCCACCATGCACTCTTTGACAAACTCTCCCTCCGAAAACGGCTTGCTGTTTTTAGCTATTTTGTGGGACATCACAAAGCTGGTCCTGGTTGCTGCATCCCTGGATGTGTGAAGCTTAGTAAAACAGCCTTGCTGCTTTTGCAACTTTGCTAGCAAAGCTTCGGATGTCCGTGCCCTCGCAGCATCAGACAAGTTCTTGTATTTTTCCGAGTGTTTCTTGTCGTAATTCCGACTCAAATTGTAGTCCTTAAACACGGCAATCTCCTACACGCAAACCAAACACACGGCTTTACCTCCGACTTCAGTAAAAAAAAAATACTTAGCAGTCCAATTTTTGTTGAAAATCCTGCATTTGGCATCTTTCTTTTTTTTTTTTTTTTGCATGAGCGGACATTTCTGGGGGCTACAATCACCATGTCAACCGCGGGCACTTGTCGCTATACGTATTGCGTCATTGTGCACGTAAAAAACAACTTCAAAATAAAAGCAATGCAGCCTTAGTCCATGCATGAGGTAAAATGAGAAAATACATTTATTTTGTAATTTCCAATTAACCTTACACGGGCCGGTCAAAGTCAACCAAAGGGCCGTATGTGGCCCGCAGGCCGTAAATTGCCCAGGTTTGCTCTAGGCTAATTTTGTATACTTACAGTCAGGTCCATAAATATAGGGACATCGACACAAGGCTAACATTTTTGGCTCTGTACACCACCACAATGGATATAAAATGAAACGAACAAGTTGTGCTTTAACTGCAGACTGTCAGCTTTTATTTGAGGGTATTTACATCCAAATCAGGTGATCGGTGTAGGAATTACAACAGTTTGCATTTGTGCCTCCCACTTGTTAAGGGACCAAAAGTAATGGGAGAATTGACTTCTCAGCTGTTCCATGGCCAGGTGTGTGTTCTTCCCTCATTATCCCAATCACACTGAGCAGATAAAAGGTCCAGAGTTCATTTCAAGTGTGCTACATGCATTTGGAATCTGTTGCTGTCAACTGTCAAGATGAGATCCAAAGAGCTGTCACTATCAGTGAAGCAAGCCATCATTAGGCTGAAAAAACAAAAGAAACATATCAGAGAGATAGCAAATGCATTAGGCGTGGCCAAAACAACAATTTGGAACATTCTCAACAAGAAGGAATGCACCGGTGAGCTCAGCAACACCAAAAGACCCGGAAAACCATGGAAAACAACTGTGGTGGGTGACGGAAGAATCCTTTCCCTGGTGAAGAAAACACCCTTCACAACAGTTGGCCAGATCAAGAACACTCTCCAGGAGGAAGGGGTATCTGTGTCAAAGTCAACAATCATGAGACGACTCCACCAGTGTGAATACAGAGGGTTCACC